GTCTGGCACAATGTGGCCGTTGTCGCATTATCTAGGTGGATGCTGCAAACTTGTGGTGGAGTAGAAGATTCCCCCAAATGTGTAAAGTGCTTTGAGTGTCCAGGAAAAGCGCTATATAAAGGTAAGGAATTACTATTAAGTGTCATCAACTTTTGACTGATTTAAATGAATCACTCTTTCCAAAGCTGGGATTAACAGCAAACATTTTTTCAGCACACTTTTCTCATTTAGTAACATTTAGTTAATGTGTGAACTAGTATTTATAAAAAAACATCGCATTTGTACAGCATTAGTTATCTTTCATAAATGTTAATTAAATGGTCAGTAATGTCAACAGATACATCTTGGAATTTTAATAATGTATTAGTGAATGTTGATCTTTGAATTGTTTATTATTTATACATCTTTTTTGAAATATTGTTTATTGATAGTTCATGACGACAAAGTTAGCATAATTTTTGTATAAAAATAAATAAATTATATATATATATATATATATATATATATATATATATATATATATATATATATATATATATATATATATATATATATGAGCAATATCACACGAGTAGCAGTGCGATATGGCTGTATATCGGTACTGGTGAGAGGCATGCGTTGGCGGCCTCGTGCCTAAGTGCCCCCAAGAAGGTCGCTGGATCGAGCCTCGGCTGAGTTAGTTGCCGTTTCTGTGTGGAGTTTGCATGTTCTCCCTGCGTTCGCGTGGGTTTCCTGCGGGTGCTCCGGTTTCCCCCACAGTCCAAAAACATGCGATACAGGTGAATTGGATAAGCTAAATTGTCTGTAGTGTATGAGTGTGTATGGGTGTGTCCCAGTGATGGGTTGGAACTTGAAGGGCATTCACTGCAAAAAACATGCTGGATAAGTTGACAGGTTATTCCGCTGTAGCGGCCCCAAATTAATAAAAGGACTTAGTTGAAAAGAAAATTAATGAATGAAGATATATATATATATATATATATATATATATATATATATATATATATATATATATATATATATATATATATATATATATATATATATATATATATATATATATTCATTCATTCATTTTCAGCTTAGTCCCAATATACATACACTTTGTTTGCCATAAAGACTGAAATCAGATCACATTCAGATTAACTGTGCCTTTCTACAATTTTATCCCTAAGGTGTGTTTTGCAATAGACATGCACAAATAAGTCAACTTAAGTAATATAATAAATAGTTGTTAAAGACACCTAATAAAAAGGAAGTCAAAACTCATTTATCTACTCTATAACTTTTGTAACTGCTTTCATTTTTGAAATTTCAGCAACACACTTTCCGTTGATGAGTTATAATTCCGTTTGTGAAGCCATTGACAGCAGTGGAGACAAAATGTCTGTGAGAAACTTGACTCACTTCACTCCTTCAATGACGAACGTGACTAAAAGCGAATGAATCATTATAATCGTAAAGTAGCTGCTTTTGAAGATCAAGAGGTCCAGCCCATGGATGAATGAAGATGCAGGATGAATGGATGCTGAGTGTGGTCTAATAGGTGTGCGTGCAATCGAGACGCAGACAGAAATTAAGCCCTTAATGATACCGTGTGGAAACTGACCTGGTGAACAAGTTTAAAGCTTGTCTTTTCTGCTCTGCTGTCTGTGGGTCAGACTCATTTTAATAGTGCAGACTCTGAAATTAATATCTTTTGTAAAATCATTAGGAAAGATCTGAAATCAGATAAGAGTTGCATTTTTATGTATTTTTAACATTCTAATAGACTTAGTTAACTTTATTTGTGCCCGTAGGGAAATTTAATTTGCAGTAACAGAGACATCTGACATTTTACATTTGACATTTATATAAATAAATCATTTAAAAACCTAAAGTACCATGGTACCCCTACTCTAAATACATATATCCAGTCTACTGGCCATCAACTGAGAGAGGATACATTTAAAAACTTAATTGCTTGAGGTATAAATTATAATTTAGTCAGGGAACACAATATATCAATGACCTGATGGTAACAATTTGAATGTGTATGATAAAAGATGCTTCTCATCATTGACAATCTTGATAACTTTATTTATCACTCTTTCTTTGTATAGGGTGCATCTGGAAAGTATTCACAGCGCCTCACTTTTTCGCCAACTTTAATGTTACAGCAGTATAATGACAATGTAAAAAAGATTTTTTTTGAAATTGTTGCAAATTTATTACAAATAAAAAAAAATCACATGTACAAATATTCACAGCCTTTGGTGTGAAGCTTTAAATTGAGCTCAGGTACATTCTGTTTCCACTGATTATTCTTGAGATGTTTCAGCAGCTTAATTGGAGTTCACTTGTGGTAAATTCAGTTGATTGGACATGATCTGAAATGGCATACACCTGTCTATATAAGGTCCCAGGGTTGACAGTGCATGTCAAAGCGCAAACCAAGCATGACGACAAAGGAATTTTCTGTAGACCTCAGAGACAGGATTGTCTTGAAGCACAAGGCGTGGGAAGGTTATAGAAAAAATTCTGTTGATCTAAAATGAGCATAGGTGGAAGATGTTTGGAACCACCAGGACTTTTCCTAGAGCTGGCCGGCCATCTATGCAGAGTGATAGGGGGAGAAAGGCCTTAGTCAGGGAGGTGATCAATAACCCGATGGTCACTCTTCTGAGCTCTAGCGTTCTTTTGTGGAGAGAGGAGAACCTTACAGAAAGACCATCTGTGCAGCAATCCACCAATCAGACCTGTATGGTAGTGGCAGATGAAAGCCACTCCCTGCATGGAATTTGCCAAAAGGCATCTGAAGGACTCTCAGACAATAAGAAACCAAATTCTCTGGTCTGATGAGACTAAAATTAAACTCTTTGGAGTGAATGCCAGGCATTACATTTGGAGAAAACCAGACACCGCTCATCGCCAGGCTAATACCATCCCTACAGTGAAGCATGGTGGTGGCAGAGTCATGCTGTGGGGATGTTTTTTAGCAGCAGGAACTGCAAGACTAGTCAGGATAGAGGGAAAGATGAATGCAGCAATGTACAGACACATCCTGAATGAAAACCTGCTTCAAAGTGCTCTTGACTTTAGACTGGGGCGACGGTTCATCTTTCAGCAAGACAATGAACTAAAGCACACTGACAAAATATCAACAGAGTGGCTTCACAACAACTCGGTGAATGTCCTCGGTGTGGCCCAGCCAGAGCTCAGACTTAAATCCTGTTGAACATCTTTGGAAAGATCTGAAAATGGCTGTACAAGTTCACTTCCCATCCAACCTGATATAGATTGAGAGGTACTGCAAAGAGAAATGGGCAAAAATTCCCAAAGACAGGTGTGCCAAGCTAGTGACATCATATTCAAAAAGACTTGATGCTGTAATAGCTGCCAAATGTGTATCAACAAAGTACTGAGCAAAGGCTGTGAATACTTATGTGGTGTTCAGGTTTTTTATTTTCAATAAATTTGCAACAATTTCTAAATTTTTTTTTACATTTTCATTATGGGTGTGTGTATTGTGTGTAGAATGTTGAGAAAATAAATTAATTTAATCCATTTTGGAATAAGGCTGTCACATTAAAAATGTGGAAAAAGTGAAGCGCTATGAATATTTTCCGGATGCACTGTATACTAACAATGCTCTTCAGTTTTATTCCCAACAACCAACAGGCTTTTTACCATCATCCCCAGTGACCTCTTCAGGGCCTCAGAAGCATTTCCATACCAACAGATCACACAAATGTTGCAATACTTTCAATAAAAACACTATAAAACATGATCAACAGTGTGTTGTCAACATTAAAAGACAATAGTTTCTTTAAGAAGTTCATTCTCTATTGAAGCTTTTTTTTCAGGCCATACTCCACTTAAATTTATTGTTCAACATCACACCCAATATAAGTTGATTAAGAAATAAATGACAAATCTACAGGCCTAAAAATGATCTTGTCACTAAAATTCATCATTTAATTTTAGTATCCACATAGCAAAGTTTCTTTGACCTACACAATCAGTTTTTGCTTGGCCCACATGCTGCAGTGAATTGTTACATAACTGAACTAAGTCTGGCTTCCCGACAAGGACCAATTAGGGCAAAGTCTCAGCCAAGTTAATAGCCCACATCTGGGCCTGAACTGGGCCAGATATGTTGGTGTGTCATGACTGCAATGACATTGATAAACCTACGAAACATTGTGCTTTGGGCACATTATGGATGTGTTTTTTTTTCCAAAGCTCCCTGATTGGTTAATTTAAATGTATTTTAAATGTGGGTCAAGAAAGGACAAACTTATGTGGCCCACATATTCATTTTTAACATCTGGACCAAGTGCTACATTTGACATCTAGCCCATGTCTTGTGTGCCGCCCTAAAGACGGTGCCACCTCTGCCAAACCCAGGCCATGTTTGCTGTATGCCAGTGTCGGATGAATGCCTACGTTGCCAGCTTCATGCCAAATCTGGGCCAGAATTCTTTGCTTCCTGGGTAGTAGTTTGATTTCCTACTGCATAAGACTAGTCTTTTAACTTTTTTCAAAATATCTTCTTTTGTGTTCTACAGAAAAACGAAACCAATAAAGGTTTGGAACCACTTGTATGAGAAAGAAACAGTAAGTCATTTTTATTTTTATTTTTAGGTGAACTATCCCTTTAAATGCTGATTTTTATTTTTAAATTATTATTTTTTTGTTTAAAACACAAGGGCTTTTATATAGGCAATTATGAGTGGAATTATGAACACATTAGTTTACAAAAATTAGCTTTATTTACGAGAGTGAATCTATAAAACAACAAAATCGCCTCATATTTATGACTTTTTTTGGAGATCCCCCCTCCTAATCTTTAATATATTTTATGCTTGAAAGCCAGGACATACAAAATACCAAGCAGCATTAAATAAATCTTAATAAGTGTTGTTTTAAGTAAAGTAGCTTCCCTTTTAAGGAAATATTTCGCTTATGTCCACAAGTGGGAGCCATAATCAAGTGTCTTTGGCTACGCGCTTTACGTCACACAGTAAAGATGGCGACGCACTAAAGGGCTCCATGCTTTATTGTTGATAAAACCATACATTGTTATTTTACAGGAGAAACTCTCACTTGGCTCAGAAAAATGTCAAGGTTAATAGTCAAAAATCTCCCGAATGGGGTAAGTATTCATAATAATATTAGTATATGATAGAACTCTGCTGTCAAGTATGCATGCTTTACGTTATACGAAGAAGTGTTCATCTAACGTTACAGACACGTTTATTTGTTGTATTTACTCACAAAAAGTAACACAAAACGACTGTGGTTTAGTTTGACGTGCTGTTGAGCTACAGTGGCTACTAAAAGCAGAATAATATCTAACAGTTACATTACCTATTGACATAAAGGGAAAAGTTGGTTTTATATTTAGATATCCCGACATTCTCCTTAATAATATAATTTTATTAAAGTATTCTTTGCTAATTGTAAATAGGGAAATCAAATTAGCAGCAAATGACTATCAAAGTACAGCATTGTTCACAGTGAATTAGATAGTGTTAATGTTGTTTAGAAGTCATACTTGCATGCTAATTCCGATCGAATATTCAAGGTAACATGGTAAAAAATAAGACGTTAGAGAACAATATGACTTCTAAATGAACGAATGTGCGAATATGAAACCAACTTTACCTCAGCCCTTTAGACTCCTTTTGAAAATTTGAGTAAAACCGTAACGTTAGTAACTATGTTTTTTGGCTCACTATTAATTTTATAACCTCAGTATTACTTCATATACTAACGTTAACGTTATTTTAAAATTATGATTCGTGTAGCAAAATCATTTGCCAGTTGTGGTCATACATAGAGGTAAAGTTGGTTTTATATTCGCACATTCGTTCATTTAGAAGTCATATTGTTCACCAGGTCACTTTGAATTTTCGATTGGAATTAGCATGCAAGTGTGGCTTAAAAACAACATTAACAATGTTTATTTGACTGTGAACAATGTTGTACTTTGATAGTTGTTGGCTGCTAAAATGATTTCACTATTTAGTGTTTGCAAATAATACTTTTATGAAATGATATTATTAAGGAGAAAGTCTAAATGTGCTAATATAAAACTAACTTTACCTCAATTGGTTATACATGGTTTAACTAGAGTAATATTGTTTTTTTGTTTAATTTTCCTAAGGGACAGCAACAGTGTAACATTGTACTATTACTGTACCTTCTTATAATCCTCATTAATTAAATCAAAACGAGTTTATTTGATTCCTCTAGGCTCTTATACCAGGCAGTTTTGTGTTCTTAAACTGTATGTGTGTGCAATGCATGTCATTTGATCTGCTGAAAAGCTTATTATTTATGTTGTGTCTCCAGATGAAGGAAGATCGCTTCCGTAAGATGTTTGCAGATTTTGGGACACTTACAGATTGTGCACTCAAATTTACCAAGGATGGAAAATTTCGCAAATTTGGATTTGTGGGTTTCAAGACAGAAGAAGATGCACAGAAAGCTTTGAAACATTTCAACAAGAGCTTTGTGGACACATCTAGGGTTACTGTGAGTGACAAGATCATGGAGTGTTTTCAAGCATTTCAAAACAATTCTAAAACTACAATACAGATTTTATCCCCCAATGTTAACTTGTACTTTTATTTGTATTTTTTTCTGAGAAAATAATTGGATTTTGTGCATTATCATGATTTGAAAAAGACATACACAACCCCCTAAATACTCTTTAATTATTATTACTTTGTCACTATCCTTCAATCCACTAGGTTTTACTTTTTTTTTTCAGTAAGAAGTTTTTGTTAATTTAAAATATAAAACAAATTAGCATTTCTGCTTTTTCTTTTATATATTTAAGTAAGTACAGTTTGGAATAAGATGTTGTTTAAGTTGTCAATTGTAAATTGTCAATTTTTTTTTGCTAAAATGCTTTTTTAAGTGGACATTAAAAATAAATCATTTATGAATTAAAATAGCAACCCAGATGGTTTAAATGAACATTATAAAATACCATTCAAATTTTTTTATCATCTGTCCAAAAAAGGTGGAATTGTGCACAGATTTTGGCGATCCAAACAAAGCCAGACCCTGGAGCAAACACACACGCCAGCCTTCATCAAAGAAAGATACAGAAGAAAAAAAAACACATGAGCAAGGAGAAAAAGAAAAAAAGGTTGGTTAACTAATTTCTGCCTTTTTCTCAGTGTCTGTGCTGAGCACTTACAATAAATGTGATTGCAAACTATAAAGTAAGATCTGATGTTTGCCATTTATTTTCTTTAGAGTAGTTTATAACTGAATTTATTGTAAAATATGCATTACAAATAAATCATTCTGAATTTATGCTCTTGCTCCACAGAAGCCGAAGAAGATTTTAAATGTTCTGGGAGATGTAAGTTTGCTTTTTTGTTTTGTGTCAACACAGTTCATACAAAATCGATGAACTTGCTGACATTCTATGAAATGTTGTTTGTAATTCCCAGCTTGAAAAAGATGAGAGCTTCCAGGAGTTTCTGGCAGTGCACCAGAAACGTGGACAGGTTCCCACATGGGCCAATGACACTGTGGAAGCGACTGCTGTTAGACCTGAAATGGAGAAGAAGAAAGAGAAGAAGCAGAAAGCGGCTGTTGAAGATGATTACCTGAACTTTGACTCTGATGAATCGGAGGAATCAAGTGATGACGGCGAGGATGCTGCAGATGAAGAGGACAAACAAGGTGCAATATTTAATTTAACAAATTTTAGCACTGATTACGATGTGCATTAACTCTTTGACTGCCCCTCTACCAAATAGTTGGCCATGTTTTTACTGTTTTAAATAATGTCTGTTAAAGTCATTTAAAGAATGGTTGTTTTAAATAATGACTTACACGCATTGTTGGTTTACAAAAAAAAAAAAAATCAAGCAAACATCCTGTTGCACTATTGCACTATATTACTATACTTGATTTCTTTTTTTTTTTTTTTACAATAAAATCAAAATCATGTTAAATGAGAATCTGATTGAGGTGATTTAGTATTCAAAAGCGTTTTATTTTGAATATTTAAAAAAATAAATTACTCTTACACTTCATATTTTCAGATTTTTCATAGTATGTGTATTGAGTGCGGTACTTTTACCATAAACCGACATATCAACCATTTGGTAGTAGGGATGCAACGATTAACCGATTTCCCTATTAACCGCGATTTAATTCATCACGGTTAAATAATCATAAAGGCTTCTCAACACCGGATTTCTGCACGGAACAAAAATTCATCAACTAAACAGAGTTATGCCAACTGTGCACTAGTTTAAAGTTCCAAAATTGTACACTGAGGCTAAAACCCACGCACACAGGATTAACTATGGCTGAGGCTCTTAATTAAGGGCCATTCAAAAATCGGGTCTTATGTGCGCGCAAGTTCGTTATTTTCAGTGGATGTACGCGGCTTACATGTGCTAATTGGCGGGCCATAACATGCTCGCGCACGCTTTACAGGTGCACCTAGTTAAAAGAATGCCATGACCACACCTTGACAAGAACTGGAACAATCAGCTTCATACTTTATTGAATATACACATTTCTACTACAAAGAGAGAAAAAAAAAAGAAAAATACCAAACAATTTTGTAATATAGATCAAACTTGCCTTTCAGACAGAGGTTCAGGAGCATTTGTTCTCTTTAAAAGAGAAAGATTTACATTAGACAAATTCATTTTATTTATTTTTATTTATTTATGCATTGTTCTTTCATTTATTTTCAGTGTAAAATTATTACTTCTGTTCAAATGCCAAAACCTTTTTTTCCACTTATTTTTAAGTGCAAAGAGAAATGGACTACTGTTTGTTTTTTATTTTTATTTTTGTGCTGTATTAATTGGTTACTGAGCAGCAATAAACAACAGTTTAAATATAAGGAGTTTTCATGTGATTTACTAGAAGTGTTTTGAAATTAAAACTGCATAATAATTGTGATAACCGTGATTATTTCTCAGGCTGTAATTGTGCTACCAAAATCCATAATTGTTGCATCCCTATTTGGTAGAGGCTGATATTTTAGAAATTATGGGGTTTGTTGGAAAAAAAATGCATTCAGTGTGTTAACTAGCGACATTAGGAGTTAAGAAATGCAATTCAAACAGTTTTTTTCTCTTGGTGGCTAGTTTAAGGGTTAATCATGACATTGTCGATATCGCAATGTGCAAATATGCAGTAGTTACATCGCAGAAGCTGCAATGTTGAGTTGTGATTATAATTAACCAGGAAAAAGTTCAGAACACAAGCAAAGCTTAACCCTAATTGAGTGAACAAAGTGTGTGTAAGGTTTCAAGTTAATTTAAACCATTTGGGTACAAGAAATTAGAAAATATGTAGCTTTAACAAAGATTAATTGTATTTTTTTTTTATTACAATGTAGATTATACAGTGTTGATATTTCACATCCGATTACACTGTTATTTGACATTTTATCTTAAAATGGGTGGGTGGGTGATTGGTGCAGATCTGCAGAGGGGATGCGTTCGTACTGAAGAGCGGTGTTATCGCGCGCGTACTGATCAGCTGTGTTGTCGCGCGCCTACTGAAGGGCGGGACCGAAGGTGTGCCGCGTCGCGGGGGCACTTTTGATCATTTTGGAAGGGCACTTTCTATCCAAGACTAAAAAGGGCATGTGCACTGCACAGGTTGAGCCCTATGTGTGCACGTGCCTGGTGCTCTGAATCGGGCTCAGGCCCAGTAGGAAAAGGTGTTACTGAGCGCGGTTCAATTGGGGGTTTGGCGCGATACGCTTGTGTGTGAGTGCAAAACGAAACTAAAAGTGAGACGTGACTTTAAGGGTGCTGTTTCATATGGATTAATTGATCATTCTTACTGTTCAATGAACGCAAACTGTCGTAGTTTATTAAAGATGCAAACCCCTCACTGCACGACAGCTGCTCCTTCAGCAAACCTCTTAATTCCTGCAGCACGAGGACTTTGATTGTTTATGAGCGTAAAAAGTGGTTGATCTGTTCTGCGAAATATTTGTCTGCGTGTCACTGCATATCAAACGACTAAAACAATATAACTAAAGAAATCTCCACAGTGTTGAGCGAAAGAGTTTACTGAACAGTGCATCATCGATGATGTAAGCGTGCCCAGGCCCGAGTGTAATGTGAGTGTGGGCCGTTGGGGGAGATGGGAGGGGGGACAAGCGTGCTTTGGCCCGGTTCAAGGCAACTGTACATAGTGTGAGTACGCCCTAATAAGCAACCTCCTATGCTCTATGCTACAAATATAAAATCATGAATTCTTAGCAAACATAAAGTTCTTTAAATAATCTTTTAAAATTACATGAATATTGCAGTAAATATTGCAGAAAAACTAAATATTGCATTGTCAGTTTCGTCCAATATCGTGTAGCTGTAGTTTTGATTCCCTTATCCTTTATCACAAAGTTTTAGAGATGGATTTTAGTGAAGTTCATGTATTGATAATAGGATCACCTTCATTAATTTACCCTGAGAAAAACTACTGTGTAAAACCTACAACAACACATGTCAAGATTTTTAATGGTGTTCTGATAAATTCAAGTGTGACAATGAAGTAATCTTTGACAGTTTAGACCTGATGAATTGCATCATTGTCATTCTGGAGTATTCTCGTTGAAAACATTTTTACCACATTCACTATTATATGATAATGTATATACTATATACTACCATAATACTTAATCCAGAATTGATATTTTAGAAATTAAAAGCTACACACAGCATCATTCAGTGCAATGTAAAGATGCAGCATGCAATATAGACGGCTAGCAGCTACAATTTGAATACAAAATATTGACAAATATGGGTTGCCAGATTGACAACACCAAACAGGATTGAGCATAGCTGACAATGGACTTTAGGCGCAAATGCATATCCAACAATGTTCTTTTTTTCCAGTAGATCTCTGATCACTTTTTAAATTGATGGCAGTTGGGTCAACATCATAAATTATTCTGCTGACAAAATAACCATGTGGCTGTTACCTCAGCCCAGTTGTTTAGTTAGTTAGAAAGCCATCCAACTGGTCCTTTCCCTGTTTAAAATAGCGTTTTTTGATGCATTTTATTTAATTTATAGCATCTTTAATGTGTGCATTATTTCACCAGATGCAACATGTAAAGACACTGTCACTCAGCTTAATGTCTGAAGGAAACTAGCATTCATATGTTACAGTAAAATAATTGGCTGTAACATTGTTTTTTTCGAGAAAGTAGGTCAAATTAGCATATTTATAGATAATTTTATCAATAAAGTTACTTACACATCATATTCTAAAGAATTGTTTGTCTAAATCTGTTTTCTCACCAGATAACGAGAAGGAGGCCTTGAAGACTGGTCTGTCTGATATGGACTATCTCCGCTCCAAAATGGTGGAGAAATCAGACATGCTGGATGAGAAAGATGACGACAGCAGTGCGAGTGCTGCTGATGAAAATGAGGAAGATGAGGGGAAAGAGGAGGAAGAGTCCATAGTCCAGCACGCAGACAGTGCTTATGAGAGTGGAGAGAAGACAAGCAGCCAGAAAAGCACAAGGCCAGCAGTGAGTGAAATAACTTTTAGTAAGCAAATATGGATTTGTCTCTGTTAGAGAGTAACTCTGTGCTCTTCATGCATTTTATTACAGATTGAGCCAACCACAGAGTTCACAGTCAAGCTACGAGGTGCTCCATTCAATGTCAAAGAGGTGAGATTTTTGTTATTGGGTGATATTGAATGTGTAAAACTTTTTATTTTTATTTTTTACAGCATCCTTAGTTAATGTTACAGCAAATAAACCAAACTATTACATTGATATTAACTGTTTAACTTTTTATGAAGTGCTGTCTTTAGCAGTGCATCAATATGAACATTTTATATCTATTAACATTGACCTATTTTTATGAATGATAAAAAAAAATACATACCAATTTTTTTGTGATAATGTGGCTGCCGATTGTACATCCCTAGCTAGCTTAACTGATCTGTTATTATAATGATTTATTTTTCTAATTTAAACAGTTTATTGTAGCATTCATGTATTACATTTTTACATATATAATTAAATTTATGTTAATGTTACGTTAATGTTTTTGCAACTGTTTATAATTACAAATCAGTTCTTAAACTGACCACAAATGTTTCTAGAGTAAATATTAATAAGTGTAAAATGTTTGTTTCTATCCTACTTTTACACACTTCGATATAAATTTGTGATGCTACTATATTTTATTTTTAGTTTAATTAATTATTAGAAATGTAGTCTGCTGTTTTTTTAAATTCATGCGTGCAAAATTTTAGTTTGACTGTTTTTAAAATAGTTAAAACAGTTTTTAAATGTGTTTTTAAATGTGTGTGCGTGTGCGTGTGTGTTATGTCATATCATATACACTTACCGGCTACTTTATTAGGTACACCTTACTAGCACCTGGTTCGTGGCCTTCGTGGCATAGATTCAAGTAGGTGCTGGAAATATTTCTCAGTGATTTTAGTTCATACTGACATGATAGCATCAAATGCTGCAGATTTGTGGGCTCCACATCCATGATGCGAATCTCCCATTCCACCACATTCCAAAGCTGCACTATTGGATTGACTGTGAAGGCTGTTTGAGTACAGTGAACTCATTATCGTGTTCAACAAACCAGTCTGAGATCATTGACACACCAGGCAACGTTTTTCCAATCTTATTTTCCAATAATAAAGTGACCTAATAATGTGGCCGGTGAGTGTATGTGTTGTGTATATGTCCGTCCCTATGCACAACTCCTTAACATTTCTGATTTTAGTTGTAATGCAGTAATGTGCACCTTATGTAAAGCTGCTTTGTAACAATAATTATTGTGAAAATACAAATAAACTTAAATTAAATTGAATGTATTTTATTTTGACCACAGCAACAAGTGAAAGAGTTTATGATGCCTTTGAAACCCGTTGCCATTCGATTCGCTAAGAACAGTGACGGCCGCAACTCGGGTAAGAGCATCTGCTTTTTTTCTGCCTGTTGATGGGTTGAAGATGTCAAGCTGCTGCAGATTGATTGATGTTGTATTTCCTGCAATAAGGTTACGTGTATGTGGACCTACGATCAGAGGCAGAGGTCGAGAGAGCCCTGCGCCTTGACAAGGACTACATGGGTGAGCACCTTTTCACTCTTTCTGATAAGTTCAGTACAGTGATGATTTTTCTTTGCTTCTGACATTTTTTACAGGTTTAATCTAATTTGAAAACAAGTATGGTACATGAAACTAGTTCCCGTTTGTTCATTATCTGTGTGAACCCACAGGAGGGCGCTACATTGAGGTTTTCAGAGCCAACAACTTTAAAAACGACAGGCGTTCTGCAAAAAGAAGCGAGATGGAAAAGAATTTTGTGCGCGAGCTGAAGGACGACGAGGAAGAGGAGGATGTTGCAGAATCTGGACGACTTTTCATTAGAAACATGCCCTACACGTGCACTGAGGAGGATCTGAAAGAAGTATTTAGCAAACACGGTTAGTCGCAGACACATGATAAATATTGTTATAAACAACAAGTGGATGACACAAAATACAGGTGTAAACAGAGTATGTTGAGCTTGTCTTCCAGTGGTAGTCAAAAACACTTTTTGTCTGGATTAGTTTTGTAATGTAGACTCATGTCAGGGAGTCCGCAGTGTCTTAAAAGGTCTTACATTTCAAAAACTAAATCTTAGGCTTTGAAAAGTAATGGATTCACTGAAATATTGTGTTGTAGGTCTCAAATAATTTAATAAAGTCTTAATTTTCATATGTCCATGTGAATTTATCCGATCAGTCCAACACCCACCAAATCCCCAAGTAATAGAACTTTTAACAATAGTTGAATTTTAACTCTGTTTACCAACATAGTTTAATTATCTTCTCTACAATAGCATTTGATTAAAAGCTCTCCATGTATTTATAGCTATACCTGGTGAGGAAACTGACCTGGAGAGACTGTTGAGCATATGTTTAGTTTAGTACAATTTTTAAGCTTTTTTTAAAGAAATGTTATGCAAATAAAAAGTGCATGTAGACTAGATATAACTAGAGTTTGCTTGTTTTGACACATTATTTGAAGTATGTGGCTAAGAAGTAACTAAATTAGATTTATATTTAGTTTTTTTGATGAGGCAAGTAAAAAGATTTTCCTTTTGTCCACCCAGGCCATAAGAAAAAAAATGCTTTGTGTTTAGCCCTCTATAAAGGTCTTTGCACACTGAAGTCCTAAATGTTCGTATGCGTTTTTTTTTTTCAAAATCATATGCAAAAAAATCATCATGTAAACAAACCTTGCACACTGACTCCGATGCGTAGCTCATTATCAAAGATCTGCGCTGGAATTTTGATACATTGCTTGTGATACTTTACACATTCACGTACGTAAACAAATCCTGAAAAGAGACTGGCATATTAAATGACATTATAATAGATGGTGGCTGCACTGAAGTATCGAAGCAGCAGACCGAAAGCGGACCATGCTTTCTATTATAATGTCTATGGGCAGTACATTAACTGTGTATGGACACACACACACACACAAACACACACAAACAAAGCAGCAGCAGCAGGGGAGAGGTGCGCCAGTCACTAAATCCAGCATAAAGGGGTTCTCAGCTGTCCGCCACATTCTGTCTTTATTTTATGCTTTTTATGTTTATCATAACGTTGTCTGTAGCTCAGATGATGGAATTCTGTAATTAGCTTTTCACTTTTACGGTGGGTCTGAACTGTTAAAAGCAGAAATATCCAGAATTAATTTTTTTAGCGTACGAAAATTACAGATGAAAATTTCAGATTCAGTGTGCAATACCCTTATGTTAAAACTTTATTCATAACTTTATTCTTAAATTTGACTTGATGAAACCTGCAGAAACTCTGAATGTGGTCTAATGCATTGCAGCAGCCACTCGATGGAATTTAAATTGTTTGCTGTTAAAATGGTAATTTCGATTTGATAGCAAAAAAATTTTAAAGCTAATGTTCTCTTACAGTCCTGGTCCTATTAATAGTAGTTTTGTATTTTTTTAGAGCAGAAATCAAAGCTTCAAACTAATCTTTGTTGTCTCATCAGGTATTTATGTATGATTTCTGCTGACTTATTCTGTGATATTAGAATGATGAGAAATTGACAATATATCTATAGACTCTTAAAGAATTCAGTTAAGGGATTGAAAGTAGACAAAAGATTAAAAATAAAACATCAGATGTAAGTAGGAAACGGTTGTAAATACCAATGACATACTAAGCACTAATACCTAGGAAATTCATTTTATCTTCTCCCAAATTCTGTTTTACAGATTTTTTCTTGGTTTCTTTTTTAAATGTACATTTTTATGCTTTAAATAAAACTTTTTCTTTTTTAATTTTGGCTTTTGTTTTAGCTGTACTTTACACAACCAAAATTCTGAAAAAATTCTGAAGTTACCCAACGGCCGTGAGATCACGTTATGCAGTAACATTACATATAGTACTGTAACTGAATCAAATTTTTTGTATGTTTTTATCAATTAATTCTGCCTGTGTTTTTTTTAATGCATACCTTAATTTCTTGGTCTATTTTTAAAAAACACTTATTTCCTTGTGTCCCCTATCAGGTCCTCTATCTGAGGTGCTTTTCCCCATAGACAGTCTGACTAAGAAGCCTAAAGGCTTTGCATTTGTCACATACATGATACCAGAGAATGCAGTATCAGCCCTGGCTCAGCTGGATGGACACACATTCCAGGTACTGATCTGTTCTTTTGACCTCAGCTTTGACTATTGGGGCTGTCTTTGTTTTCTTACCTCTGTTTGGACACTATAGGGTCGCGTTCTGCACGTCATGGCTTCAAGGCTGAAGAAGGAAAAGGCCGATCAGGGGCCTGATGCTCCCGGCAGCTCCTCATATAAGAGAAAGAAAGATGCCAAAGATAAGGCAGCCAGCGGCAGGTCAGGATCTGTCTGGAGCTGAAAAAACTTGCACTTTATTTTAAGGTGTCTTTGTTACAGTGTCACTATACATTATACAAGTACTGAAGAGTTAAAATTGACTGCAGGTACTTGCTGTATATATGGTTAGAGTCAGTGTAGGGTGCAATAAGTTACAAAGAAATTAAATTACATGTTTAGTGAAAGTAATTAATGGATTACTTTTATTTTGGAGGTCATTTAATTACAGTTACTTATACTTGCCTTATATACTGTTAATAAATTTAGCAGTTTTACATTGGTGATAGTGTTATAGTGGGTTATTGTCTGCTTTTATTTTTGGTGTTGGATTAATATTTGCTAGTAGGGAAAATGTTTTATTGCACAACAATTAGTTTATCAGGCTTTTTGGCTAAAAAAGATAAATCACTGTTTAATTTGCTATTATTAGAATATTTTTAAATTTCCCCTATCCTTCTGTGCATGAATAAGGGTTTATTGTTGTTCTTATAGTAAGTACATGGAATGTGTTAGAAACAAAGACCACAATGTTACCAGTTGTCTTCTCTTTATTGCGTTTTTAATTCAGCTCTCATAACTGGAACACGCTGTTTTTGGGTACGAGTGCAGTGGCCGATGCCATCGCTGAGAAATACAACACAACCAAGAGCCAAGTGTTGGATCACGTGAGTCTTTGAGTCGTATGAATGCTCTTTATTTTGTTTTGGAGATGATAAACAATGGACTTGCTTCTGTTTGTGTGCAGGAGTCTGATGGCAGTCTGGCTGTCAGGATGGCTCTTGGAGAGACGCAGATTGTACAAGAAACCAGACAATTTCTCTTGGACAATGGAGTTTCTCTGGACTCGTTCAGTCAGGTATAGTGTGTTTGCTTTACTCATACACTATTCATTAGTCTGGGTTCAGTTCAATTTTTATTTTAATTACTTTCAACATGATACCTCACCCTAAAATGAAAATCCTGTCATCATTTGATTCGTTTCAGAGTTTTGGGCTTCTGTTGAACACAAAAGGAGATATATTGAAACCTGCTGCTATTTTCTTACATAGTATTTGTTTTTGTTTTTCTGTGTATTCCAAAGGTTGCTTGTTTCCAACATTCATCAATATATCTCCTTATTTAAAACAAACAAACAAACAAACAAACAAGCAAACAAAGACAAAAACAACCTCACACTGGTATGGAACAAATTGAGGGTGAGAAAATGATAACAATTTTCATTTTCGGGTGAACTATTCCTTCAAACTTATCAAGAATACCAGTAAAATATTGATGTTTTACCACGTACAGTTGTTTTTGCAAACACATTAGTTTATATGACAGCTTTCAGAATTGGTAATAATAACAAATGTTTCTTGTGCATCAATACCAACTCATTACAATAATTCTGAATTTTAGCCCTCGTTCAGTCAGGTATAGTGTGTTTGATTTACCCATACACTGTTCAAGTTCACTGTTCAGACACTTTTCAGAATCTGCATTCAGTACAAATTTTTTTAAATTAATTACTTTCAACTATGGGGTCCTTAAAGGGATTCTACACCCCAAACTGAAAGTCCTGTCATCATTTGTAGCATTTCAGGCATTTTCACTGAAGGAGATATACTGAAACCTGTAACCATTTTCTTCCATAATATTTCTTTTTTTGCTACTATGAAAGTCAATGTTTACCTGTTTCCAACATTCATCAATATATCTCCTTTGAAAAAAAACAAAAAAAAAAAAACTAAGAAACAAAAAAAGAAAAAAACTACCTCAAACTGGTATGGAACAAATTGAAATTGATGACAGAATTTTCATTTTTGGGTGAACTTCCTTTAATCTCATCAAGAATATTAAATTACTTTCAACATAGGGTACTTAAAAGGATTCTTCAACCAAAATGAAACCCCTGTTATCATTTGATTTGTTTCAAAGTTTTGGGGTTCTTTTGAACACAAAAAGGAGATACACTGAAAGCTGTAACCATTTTCCTCCTAAGTATTTGTTTTTCTTCTTCTGTGGATGTCAATGGTTGCTTCTTTCCAACATTCATTAATATATCTCCATTTTTAAAATAAAATATAACAAACAAACAAGCAAACAAAAAACTCTCAAACAGGTATGAAACAAATTAAGAGTGAGAAAGCAATGACAGAATTTTCGTTTTTGGGTGAACTATCCCTTTAAACTGATAAAAAATACCAGTAAACATTAATGTTACAAAAAAGACAAAAATTTTACAGAAACTGTCCAGTTTGATTTTTCTGTTCATTAAATAACCCTATAAAACGTTAAATGATATTTGCAAAAGTGTTAGTTTCTACTACTGTTTTCACCATTGATAATAATAACTAATGTTTCTTGAGCATCAAACCAGCTCATTACAATCATTTCTGAAAGATGACGGGATGCTGAATACACTGAGTGAGACATTGAAGCTGAATATTCATTTTTATATACATTGTGCATTCTTGATTGAATCGCTCGCATTATTCTTTAACATCTATTGAAATAACAACGCATCGCTGAATCGCTCGCATTATTCTTTAACATCTATTGAAATAACAACGTGATAATGATTCATAATAAGGGCACATTTAAAAAAAAAAGCTTGATAGAACAACATCAGTGTCCATAAACTGACTCCTCTTCATCATCATCTTCAGACAATGCTGACCAAAAGTTATGGAAATCATGTCGATCAACGGTGTGGTCATCATTTACAGCATTGACAAATGTGCTAGCACAATGTCAAGGTGTATCTGAGGCTGTAACTTTGCAATACTTAAACATATTGAAATAACAATGTGATAATGATTCATAATGATTCATAGTAAGGGCACATTTAAAAAAAAAAAAAGCTTAATAGAACAAACATCAGTGGCCAAATCCATCTTTTCTGTTTGTATCCACATGGTTAAATCATCTATATGTTTAAACGTGTGTGGTTTCCAGGCGTCGGGTGAGCGCAGTAAATGTGTTATCCTCGTAAAGAACTTGCCGTCAGGAGTGCAGGTTGCAGATCTGGAGGCTCTGTTCTCGCCCCATGGGTCTTTGGGTAGAGTTCTGCTGCCCCCTTCTGGCCTTACAGCGATAGTGGAGTTCCTGGAGCCCACAGAAGCCAAACGTGCTTTCATGAAACTTGCATACACAAAGGTCAGTGGGCACTTGTTTGGAAGGCCATTTCAGCTAATGTTTAGGCTATGTTTTATTGGGGCTTTAGCTAGTTTAATCAAGCTTTAATGACAGCATATGATGTTATATGTTTGTATTTCTCTTTCTAGTTTCAACATGTCCCTTTGTATCTTGAATGGGCTCCTGTCGCTGTCTTTACAACTCCCTCAGCACCTAGACCAGGTAATACTTTAATTCTGATTCAGCCATCTGCTGTAATTTAACAATCAATTCAATGTTAGGTGACTATGATGAGTTTTCATTTGTTGTCCCTTTTTTTCTCATTAATAATAAGTAATAATAATAAAACTATTCTAGAGTACATCCCAATCTGTGTTTCTGTGATTTATTTTTCTTATATTTGTTCTGTGTTGTCTCAATCTGTGTTTCTGTGTTAGTTCTTTGTGTTATTCTCTGATTCTGTTTTTCCTCCCAGAGCCTCAAACCAAAGAGAAATCTGCTGTGAAAAATGATTCAGTCCAAAATGAAGAAGAAGAGGAGGAAGAGGAAGAAGATGACCAGATTTTACCTGGCTCGACTCTCTTCATTAAGAACTTGAACTTTATCACCTCAGAAGAAACATTACAGAAGGTAAACTAAAAACACACACACACACACACACACACACACACACACACACACACACACACACACACACACACACAAACACACACAAGCATATGCTTGAGCAGCAAAGCGGTTGTGGTTTAGGGATTTGCAGTGGAAACCTGAGAGGCCTTCTTGTTTTGCTGATCACAGGAGACTCATTTAAGATGCATATTAGTTCTAGGTGTAAACATGTGTTGTGTGATCAGATCACCCGAAACGGATGTTCATAACAGGTGTAAACATGGCCCGTGTCTCACCATATGGCTTTCATTGCATTCTTTTGACAGACGTTTTCTAAATGCGGCGTGGTGAAAAGCTGCACGATATCAAAGAAAAGAGATAAAGCAGGTTTGTTTTCTCCGAAATGCATATTTACTGTATTGATATTCATCTGTGCGCTTGTTAGTTTTCTCATTTCTCCGTCTCGTTTCAGTCGCTGTGTGAATCTCACCCTGATCTCTTTGTGTGTGTGTGTGTGTGTGTGTGTGTGTGTGTGTATGTGTGTGTGTGTGTATGGTGTGTGTGTGTGTGTGTCATGCGTCTCAGGTAAATTGTTATCGATGGGTTACGGCTTTGTGCAGTACAAAACTCCAGAGGCGGCACAGAAAGCCATGAGACAGCTGCAGGTAAATGACCATCTGCTGTGCTTTCATCGCTGTGTTTATGTGCTCTTATTATGCGCAAATATTCAAGTGATGAAGTAAATTCAGGCATGTTTTTTCCTCGTTTCATTCATTTTTCTTGCAGCACTGCACAGTTGATGAGCACCAGCTTGAGGTGAAGATATCAGAGAGAGAAGTCAAGTAAGTCTTTTGTGTACTCCATTTTCAAGTGCTGTGTAGATTTGTTAAAGCTTGTGAAGACTTCTATTCTCGCTAGGCAATTTGCAGGGTACTAGGTTACATCATTTTTTGCTATCAGAACTGCCTCAGTTGTCCATGATAATATGATTTAAATAGTAAGAGCATTTGTTTGCCATGGACCTGCTAGTTTGAAGTGAAGGTGTGTTAAAGGAATAGTTCACCCAAAAATGAAAATCATCATTTACCTTGTTTTAACTAGTTTCAAACATTTATGATTTTCTTTGTTCTGTTAAACACAAAATAATATATTTTGAAGAAACTTACCTTTGTAGCCACGTGTAACCATTCAATTTAATTCATCTTTATTTCTATTGTGCGTTTACAATGTAGATTATGTCAAAGCAGCTTAGTTGCAGTTAGTTCTGGTAAATTGAAACCGTGTCAGTCCAGTTTTCAGAGTTGAAGTTCAGTTTAGTTCAGTTCAGTGTGGCTTTTCACTGCTGAAAGTCCAAACACTGAAGAGCAAATCCATCGATGCGCAGCTTCACAAGTCCCAAACCAAGCAAGCCAGTGGCGAGGAGTACACTTCACCAGTTGACAAAAGTGAAGGAAAAAAACCTAGAGAGAAACCAGACTCAGTTGGGCATGACCATTTTTCCTATGGCCAAACTTCTTGTGGAAAGCTGCAGTCTAGGCGGCGGAGGCTATAGAACGCTGGACGTCTATAGTAGAGACCTCCATTGGCTTCCATAGAATTTGTTTTTCCTCCTAGGGAAGTCAATGCTTACAGGTCTTCAACTTTCCTCAAAATATCTTTTTTTTTCTGTTAAACAGAAGAAACTAACTCATAAAGGTTTAAAACCACTTTAATGGTGCTTAAATAATGATTACATTTCCTTGCTGTCCCTTTGAGGTGCATTAATGGTGGATTGCAAATTTGATGCAGCTGAAATAGACTGCACCTTTGACCAACTAAAGGCTTATCTGAAGTCAATGGGGCAGTTTTTAAAATTTAGTTATTTAGGGTGTACTCATACTAGGCATGGTTACCTTGAACCGATCCTGGGCAGAGTTTGTAAGGTCTTGCCCTCAGCTCGTACTTGCACTGCAATTTTACCTTCCGAGCCCAAGCATGCCTATGTCATCAAAGATGCTACTATTCTGTCAGAAAGAGAAGAGCTCTTGCTCAGTACAATGGAGATTGCTTTAGTTAGTATTTTTGTATTATTTTTAGTCGTTTGGGTTGCAGTGACACACAGTCGAATATTTAGCTGAACAGAGCCACCACTTTGGTGCTCAATAATTTTAATGAAAATCATCATGCTGCACATTAGGAGGTTTGCTGAAGGTCCAGCTGACATGCATCTTGGTGTTAGCAAGTTTAATAAACTGTGACAGTTCACTTACATTAAAAAGTAAGAATTATTAATAAATCTATATGAAACAGTCCCTTTAAACTGACTCCGTGTCTTCAGTTTTGGGCTCAGGCGAGCTTTGCACTCACACTACAAGCGTATTGTAGTAGACCAACCGAACCGCACTCCTCTTCCAACCAGGCAAGGGTCGGCTAACTGAACCGGCGTGATTCGAAGCACTCACACTTGTCAAATGAGCTGGGAAATGGTGGTCAAATGTGCCCTGGGACGGTTCGAATAGCCTAATATGAGTATACTCTTAAAGGACGCGTTATTAAAATGCACCTATAAACGTACATACATGTTGCTTATTACTTAAAGGGACATGCAGCAGCACACAAACATCTTTATATATAATTTAAAAAAATGTGTAAAATGTTTTTAGTATTATTATTATCTACAAAAAATGATGAACTTATATGTCCTGCCATGCCTTCTTCACCTCAGGGGCCTTTTGTGGAATTTGGCTGTTTCTGTAGATGGTCTGCTGCATTTTAACCTCACGCATGAGCACATTTGTTTTCTTGCTAGGAAAGCGTTCTGTTTTTCCTCTTATAAAGTCCTCTATGTAAATAGCGAGTCCGCTTGGCGCAACCATAACTGACTCGTGAAAGGAATCGGAAACTGATTGGTTTACTGTGCACCGCCAAAAACTTATTAAGACAATAAGGATTGTTCTCATCTTTTAAGTAGCAAGAGTTGATTCGGACATGCCCTAAGTACAACATCCATGTGTGCTTTAGACCATGCGCTTAGATCGATAAAGTAAAGCCCGTTGTTATGTTCAAGAAACCATTTTGGATTGTTTTGAGTTTTCTGATATCGTCCTGCTACAATTGGCCATAACAAGATAATCAAGGTATGGACATTGTGAGGAACAATACTCTCAAACTTGGCACAAACCTGACCCATTGATGCAAAGCAGCATGGTTCCATGAATTTTTTTATTTTTTTACATCAAATTCCGACCCTATGATCTAATAACACAGTAGAGGTTAAGACTCATCAGACCAGGCAATCTTTTTTTTTTTATCTTATATTGTTTATTTTTTTATATATAGTAATAGGCATAGTAAAGTATGAGTAAGTTTACATTTTTGGGTCAACACTTCTTTCCTAGTTGCCCCGTGACATTCATTAATGTCATTTAAATGTGGCACCGGTCACATGTATGAGTGAAAAACGTGTTCCTTATGTTGTTTTTGTAGGTCAGGTGTGGCACAGGCCAAGAGGAAAAAGCAAACCGCCAGGAAACAGACGACCTCTAAGATCTTGGTGCGAAACATCCCTTTCCAGGCCACAGTCAAAGAGCTGAGAGAACTCTTCTGGTAAACATCCTTTCACATTTTAATGTTTCATGCCATATTATTCCAACAAGTGTGGAATTTCTAGCATGTATATGGTACCTTAACAATATTCGTATGCAATAGCATTTTTAATACCAGAGAGAAAATATTGCATTAGCATGAAGTAAAATTAAAATGTTTTCACGTCTTCATTTTTTTTAGACGTGAAGGTTTGAATGGTTTGAATGGTTAAGATGTTCACTTGCATTGCCAAAATTTAACCATTGTTTGAAAGTTGTTTGCATCGTTGTTTAAAGCAACGTCAATGCTAACTTAGAGTTGCAGGCAAAAATATTAGATTATTAGAAAATTATTTGAAATTTGAATTCTTCAAATATTTCCAGGGTGATGTGTAACAGAGCAAAGACATTTTCACTATTCCTATTATATATAATTTTATTCTGGATAATTTTACATTTTTAGTTTGGCTGAAATAAAAGCGGTTTTATTTATTTTTTCAAAGTAATTTTTAAGGTCAATATTATTTGTATGTTTTAAGAGATGATAACTGTTTGATTGGCTACAGAACAAACCACTGTTGTCATTGACTCACCTAGTTAAGCTTGGCTAGTCAAAATAATGTTAGTTAAGCCTTTAATTTGCACTTTAGACTGAATAAAATTGTCTTCCAAACCACTAGATAAATATCATTTAAGGTCATCATGGCAAAAACAATAAATTAGGTTTAAAAAGAAAACTCCATTAAACATTACTTAGGAAATAATTGAAAAACCATTACAATTTCATAATGAATTTGCCTTTTACTCTATACAGTGGTCCCTCACCATAACGTGGTTCACTTTTCACCACCTCGCAGTTTTACAGATTTTTTTTTGTGCAATTTGACATGCTTTTTTCCCCAAAGCATTGTGTTCTGTTTTCTGATTGGCTGTAGAGCATTGTCAATCAATCTTCTCCATGCCGTGCCACTGTACAGTACAGAATGCGTTCAGCTTGCCAAATTTACATGAATCTTTGATCACTAGCAGTGTGACTCTGAAGTGCTGGACTGTACATTTTCTTTCCAACAAATCCCATAATGTCGTAAAAACATTCTGCACAGTCAAAGGCACCTGTGGCAACCCCCAAAAGGTAGAGGAAGATACTAGCATCACACAAAAAGTTGGACTTCTTGGTCCACTTGGAGTGTTTAAAGAAGAGAGAAAAAATAGGAAAATGTTAATTCCTATCTGAGAAAAATTGTAGAGTGTAGTGAAGGATTTTAATGCCTTAAGACATCTATAATAATTGTAAAAGTAAAGCGGACTAAATTGAAGATTTCACCTATTGCAGACTATGTTTAGGATGTAACTCTCCCAAGATTAACGAGGGACCACTACATATTACTGTATAATATAGATTACTGCAAACATTACTGAAGACAAGTGATCTGTAATAAACAAATTATGACCAATAACCCTAATAAATAGAACAGAACAAATGTACAGATGAAAACAGCGCTTTAGGTTGTTCTAACAGTCATTTTTGTCTTTTGTTTTTAATTAAAATAAAAACTTTTAAAGTATGGCATGTCATATACTGTAACATATTTTTCCCTATCTGTTAAAGCAAAAGAACATGTAAAGGAGATCTCTAAGAAAGAGATGCACAAACAGTGCTCAAGTGTTGAGTTTTTTACTTCAGGGTGTCTGCAGGGTCTTAAAGTATTAAAATGTCTTAAATCTCAAAAACAAAATTGTAGGCCTCAAAAACTCTTAAATTTACTGAAATATTGTGTTATAGGTCTTAATTGTTTTTGTAAACAGGTCTTAATTTTTCTCTGTTCATGTATAGCTACCCAATCTGGCCAACACCCATCCAATCACCAACAATCTATTTCAGTAAAACTTTAAACTTTTCTCTATGAATGTCATTATTAAAGTCTAATTACCATAATGGTTTAATTATTTTCCAATAAAACAATAACAATAAAACAATAACAGTTGTTTAAAAGTGAGGAAGCTGACCTTGTCAGACTTTTGAGCATACGGCGGATGTCCTTTCAGCAGCAACCCTTCACTGGGAACACCCATACACTCTCATTCATACACATACACTAAAGACAATTTAGCTTACCCAATTAACCTGTACCGCATGTTTTTGGACTGTGGGGGAAACCGGAGCACCCGGAGGAAACCCACGCAAACGCGGGGAGAACCTGAAAGCTCCACACAAGAAGGTGGCTGGGTCAGTTGGCGTTTCTGTGTGGAGTTTGCATGTTCTCCCTGCGTTCGTGGGTTTCCTCTGGGTGCTGCAGTTTTCCCCACAGTCCAAAGACATGCAGTACAGGTGAATTGGGTAAGCTAAATTGGCTGTAGTGTATGAGTGTAAATGAGAGTGAATAAGAGTTTTTGGATGTTACCAAGAGATAGGTTGCAGCTGGAAGGGCATCCACTGTATATAACATGTGCTGCATAAGTTGGCGGTTCATTCCGCTGTGGCGACCCCAGATTATTAAAGGGACTAAGCTGAAAAGAAAATGAATGAATGCTCTTTAAAAGCTGCAGAAACCCTGTACTTTGTTTTTCTGCATTTCTAAACTGATAAAATACTTATATTGATGCATAACTACTGCATATTGCCAATATTTGCTAAAAAGTACTATTGTAATTTCATGGTTTTGTACTCTAATAGAAGTCGAGGTGTTGTAGATGATGTTGGATTCATGTCTTTCCCTCAGTACGTTTGGAGAGCTGAAGACAGTCCGCCTGCCAAAGAAAGGGATTGGTGGATCCCACCGTGGTTTTGGCTTCATTGACTTCCTCACGAAACAGGATGCCAAGGTGTGTGCAGCTGTCTCTGTTTCTTTCTGTTGCTCTTGTTTTTTACGGTCAAACAGCTGATTGTCTTTGATTCGGTTTAGTGTCTAACAGGAACTTTGTATGTGTGACAGAAAGCGTTCTCAGCACTGTGCCACAGCACTCATCTGTACGGCAGGAGGCTGGTGCTGGAGTGGGCAGATGCTGAGGAGACGGTAGACGACCTGCGGAGGAAAACCGCACAACACTTTCATGGTAAAATCTCTGCTTTATACTTCAGCCACAGTCATGGAGAGCAGACGCTGTGAAACTGTTTGATCAGTCACATTAAATGCAAACTTAATTTGACACACTTTCTTAGTAGCCTGACAAAACAAGCTGTTTTTGGTAGCATCACAGGATGAAAAAAAGATTAGCGTTTCGTTTTTATGACACTATGAAATAGAAAGTTTTAATGGATTTGTATGGTCAATATCTTTTTTCAGTTGAGCCCCAAATACAGTAAAAGACTAAATTATTAGCCCTCCTGTGAAAATTTTAATTCTGTTTTTTAAATATTTAACAAATTATGTTTAACAGAGCAAAGACATTTTCACAGTATTTCTTATATATTTTTTTCTTCTGGGGAAAGAATTATTTCTTTTTTTTTAAATTCTAAATAAATAAAACTAAATATCTTTTTTGCATTAATTTTTTTTATACAATTTTAATGATAATTTTTCCTTCAATTGTACGTTTTGTTGCATTTATCTAAACAAAATAAATAAAAATGTCATAAAATAAATAAAATAGTTTTTTTTATTCTAATTAAATCATGTAAATATAATTTTTACATTAAACTTTTAAAAAATAATTTATATAATACTTGTGCCTTCAATTGTGTGCTTTTTACATTATTTAAAACAACAATTAAGTGTCTGAAAATGGTTAAATGAAAATAAATGTTCAGTAAATTTATTATTTATGTGCAACATTTACAAATGCTGTATTAATAGCAATTATACTTGAGAATAACGCTTCATCTGTGGTTGGATGTTAAACAGAATACTATTTAATTACCATGCTAAATTTTAGTGTCATAGCAATATAGGATAGAGTTAAGCAATGTTCTTTATAAAATATTCTGTCTTTAATTTCTAGTTAAAAATAATAATAAATAAATGAATAAAAAAATCATTTTTTATTCTAAATTAAAAAATGTAAATATCATTCTTACATTAAACTTTTCATATATTTAAATTTATAATTTTGCCTTCAATTTCGTTTTTTTAATGTAATTAATTAAAACAAAATGAAGTGTCTGCAAATTGCTAAAATGATTAGATTGCTAAATTTGTATGGCATAGTTATATAGGAATGAGTTTAGCAATTATTTATAAAACATTCTGTCTTTAACTTTTAGTTAGTTAAATAAATAAATAAATAAATAAATAAATAAATAAATAAATAAATAAATAAATAAATAAATAAAATTAATAAATCGTTTTTTTAACTTTTTTTTTCAAAATAATGTGCATATATTTTTTACATTAAATGATTTAATATATTTTATGTAATTTTTTCCTTAATTGTGTGCTTTTTCATTATTTAAAACAAAAATAAAGTGTCTGAAAATGGCTAAATGTAAATTAATGCTTAGTAAATATAATATTTATATATAATAATATGATATATACTGCATTAATAGCAATTATACTTCAAATACTTGAGAGAAATGCTTAATCTGTGGTTGGATATTAAACGGAATACAATTTTATTACAAATTTAAAATTTTAATGCCGTTCACTACCTGATAAAAGTCTTGTCTTCGATCCCAATTGTAAGAACAACAAATAATAACTTAACCTCTAGTTAATCATTTGGAAAAGTGGCAGAAGGTCGAGTTTTCTTTTTTATTTTCTTTTTTTTCCCTAATGAATTATCTGTTGAACTGCATCAAAAATCACCACTAATACTGCAGAAGAACTATTGGAACCTGCATGGGTCCAAGATTCTCAGCGAATTCAATCAAGTTTGGTGAAGGAAAAGTCATGGTTTGTAGTTACATTCAGTATGGGGATGTGCGAGAGATCTGCAGAGTAGATGGAAACATCAACAGCCTGAGCTCTCAAGACATTTGTGCTGCCCATTACATTACAAAACATAGGAGAGGTCAAATTCTTCAACAGGATAGCGCTCCTTCCCATACCTCAGCCTCCATATTAAAAGTCCTGAAAGCAAAGAAGGTCAAGGTGCTCCAGAATAGGCCAGCCTAGTCACCAGACATGAACATTATTAAGCATGCCTGGGGTAAGATGGAGAAGTCATTGATGTATGGATGCAGTCATCCAAGCTCATGGGAGTGAGACACAATATTAATTACTACATCATGACCATATGTTCTATACAGTACATTATTTCTGTTAAGTGACAAGACTTTTGTCTAAGCAATGTCAGACCTTACTGTCCTAATTGAACAATTAAAAATCAAGGCATGATCATATTTTATTTTGGTAAAATAAGCGTAATCTAGAGGCCTTTGCCTTTCATAAAAGCCACTTCTGATATAGGCAACAAGACTTTTATCAGGTAGTGTATGTGGACTCTATTATTTAGTTCTGCTGCTTTAGAAACATAAGCAAAAAACATTAACCAGTAACCTCTAAACAGATTGATCTAAAATGCTCAGTTGTTATATTCTGTCAAATTAAATGTCCTTTTAAAAGCAAAGAATCTTAATTAAAGTAGGAGTAAATTAAATGAATGTCAAATCCTGTCAAGTAATTCAGCTCATCATTAGTTTGTGCCAGATACAAAAAGTGTTGATTTGTATTTAATAGCGCTTAATTGTTTGAATTGTTTACTTCGTTTTGTCAAACTTTTTATTTTTTGGCGCTACTTTGACTGTCAAAACTCTGCCAAAACACAAGCTACTCCTTATTTGAAGCGTTTTCTCTAACATCGATCGCAATCCTAGTCATTTCCCAGTCTGTAATTAAATTAAAACAAATCTGTGCGCAAATCTGTCTCCCTCAGATGCTCCTAAGAAGAAGAGGAAGGCGGAGGTGTTAGAGGGAATCCTGGAGCAGATGGAGGTCGGCGATGGAGACGGCGAGTGAATAGCAGCCGTCAGTCATTCACCTCCAGCATCAATAAGAGAGTAAATCATCCAGTGCAACTTCATTTATCTCTATTATGACTGCGTCTTAAACAGCTGCTTCACGGGCCCTCTTCAGGAATTCTTCCTTTTGGCCCCAGATGCTCCCAATTAGCTTTTTATTATATGCTCATACATCATCCCTGTTATTGCTGTCAATGCATTAAACACTGCGTCTCCCTGCAGACCCGCTCCGACTGAAGGTGAACTCCAAGACTAAGTCCTTTTAGAAAAGCAAAAGCCCGAAGGCCACGCTTGCTTTGGCTGTTTTTAATCGTCACAGAGGGCCGAGACGGTTCATACACTGCCTTGACACGCGGATGACATTGAGAAATCGTATCAGAAATGAAATGTGGAAGGGGTTTGATTGTTGTTTGTACACACAGAGATTGTGTATTGTATTTTCAGATACTTACATAATTATGTAAAGTTTTTGAGGTGTTTAAAGTGATGGTTCAGCCCAAAGTGATGTGTTATTCACTGTCAAGTGGTTTCAAAACATTTAGTTTCCTGTTTTCTGTTGAACACAATAGAAGATATTTTGAAGAATGCTGGAAATCCATTATAAAGAATAAAAAATACTTAAGTGGCTGTCGATTTCTCAAAATATCTTCTTTTGTGGAGAAATGAAAGCTTAAAATGTTTCAAACAAGCAGTTGTTGAATAAATTACAAGCTTTTTTTGGTAATTTTGTGCAGGGTGAACATGTTCTTTCATTGCATTGCTATTAAATCTGGCCACTTGTCAGTGTTGGTTTTTGAAAAATGACCTTTTTGGGGTTATACTGTATATGACTATAATAAATTAGTCTGGAAAGAGGAGTATTCACTCTAGAAACATCTTTTTGTAAAGTTTGTGAAGTCTGAGGAACATCATGTTGCTTCAAACTAAGCTGTTATGTCAATGACATTTATTGTTCTGGTGCTTTACTGAAATGTTTGTTTGTTCAACTAAAAATGGAAATTTCTATCAACATTTATCTTATTTCATTAGCCTTATTCCAAAATATAAAAGCTTAGTATACAAAGCCAATTATGGGTTAGTTGCTCTAAAAAAAAGTAATTAATTTCTGATTGCATCTTTACAATTGTATTTAAATAAGTTTTCTAATTACAGTCAATAATTTTAGTGCGTAAGTCTCAATGCATAGTCAACAGACTTCACACTCTTAATTCTTTAAATTGGTTTTGTTTTTGGTTTTGTTTAAAAAATAATAATAATAGCCCATTTTTTTTATTGTATGAAATATAAAGTCATTAATTGAAAACGTTTTTTTAAAGCATGTGCAGTTGTTGGACAAATAAAACCTTTTTTTTTTTTTTACTTATGGAAAATATCTAAACAACAACAAAATAAATTATTTACAATGACTGTTTCTTTGAATTTATACCTTGTGTCATGAATTAAAATTATTCTGCAAATATACTGCTTCCCTGGATTAATTTACACAGAACTGTTGATTTTTACATACAATATTTAAGCAAGTTCCCTAAAGTAACTAATAAAATTACCTAAAAGGAAAGGTAATCCCTTACTATACGTTTTCAGTTGAAATGTAATTTAGTTAACTAATGTGTAACTAATTGCACCAAATACGTCAGAATAAACAGGCTGGAGCATCATAACTTGCAGATTTTGTAAATAAATACAGACGGGGTGAAACAAAATGTGGCATTATATAGGAAGGCCATTACATAGTGCTGCGTTTAAACGTGATATTTTTAGTTTGGTTCAGTCGTCTTAACAGCCCTCTCATCAATAGCACACAGAGATGGCCAATCAAATCAACGCAGGCAAGGTGGACCGCTCACTGAAGCCGAGGTAATTATTTTTATAATATTTTTGTCGTGTTCCTGCACTATTAAATCAAGTCATGTAGTTTTCCCGCATTACTTTTTTTTTCTGTGGAGTACACAAGCTCTTCTCCACACTGTTGACCCTTCTGGTTTGCATACAATGGCAGCGACCAGATGCTGCCCAGCTCCAAAAAGGACCATTAAAGTAGTTCATAACATTCAGAAACTTTATTCCAGGTCTTCAGAGGAACTAAAGAAACTTTTAAGAAACAACTTTTTCCCCGAAGGTCGTCGAAGACCTTATGCAAGTTAGTCATGAATCCGGCAACGTGCCACTGGTTTTCTACTGTTTTTAGTCCACATCAATTCAAATTTGTAATTTTGAAATGTCTGTCATATACTAAATGTCTTTGTTATTTAGTGTAACTTATTTATATCTATATTTCGTAAAAACGTATTTAGGAAATAAGTGATCACGACGTTAATTTAATTTTTTATTCTGACAAATTGGTAAAATCGTGGTTCAATGGCATTTTAGAAGTCGTCGTTATCAGAAAATGTGTCACTTTTGTTTTTCCCTTAGCACTCGCCTCACAGCAAGAAGGTCGCTGGTTCGAGCCTCGGCTGGGTCAGTTGGCTTCGGCATTTCGGTGTGGAGTTTGCATGTTCTCCTCGTGTTCACGTGGGTTTCCTCTGGGTGCTCCGGTTTTTCCCACAAATTCAAAGACATGCGGTACAGGTGAATTGGGTAATCTAAACTGTCCGTAATGTAAGCGAGTGTGTGAATGGATGTGTATGGGTGTTTCCCAGTGGCTGGAAAGCCATACGCTGCATAAAACATAAGCTTGATTAGTTATTACGCTAGCTGTGGCGACCCCGGATTAATAAAGGGACTAAGCCGAAAAGACAATGAATGGATGAAGCTGGACACCTATTAATGTACTGGAGGAAACATAAATAAATTAAAGCTGAACTATCGTTTTGATGCTTAAAGCCCATTGCTTTGTTTCTGACCCCACACAACTGAAGTAATTTATCATTAAAATGTTTGCGATTGTATAGCAAAACACAAAATTAGAAATTTTGAATAAAGTACAAATGTATGAGTATGAATTTTCATTTTGACATTCTGAACATAATGGATAACTTATGAATGTTTATAGCAGGTTATGAGAGTTTTGAATCACATGACTGAGCAAATGACCTTGTTGTGGGTAAGGCATTACAAGTAACGCGAGTTATATTACATAATATTTTCGGTAACACTTTATATTGATGATCCATTTGAGTATTAGTAAAGTGCCTAATATCTGTTGATACTGCTCAGTCAACAGACATTAAACTGACAATAAGAAACTTTTCAAGTACATGTCAATTTACTAAACCCCAAGCCCAACCTAACAATTACTTATTATTGGCACAATAGCCGGTTAGCAGTGTGGAGAGTAATGCGTTACAAAAAGTAATGTATTACAGTAACGTATTAGTGTTAGCGCGCCGACATATGGTGCAGTAGCACATCAGGGCGTCCTGAGTTCGAATCTCAGCTCAAGGACAATTCTTCATATTTAACATAGTCGTACATTTTGACATAGTCCTAAAAACAAAACAAACAAACAAACAAAAAAAAAAAACGATTAGTCTGTTGAATGTATGTGTAATCATGTTGAATCACACTCAATGAGAGAATGTGCTCCCTGTAAAAACAGACAAAAACCAAGATGGCAGAGCGTTACATTTTTGTGATGGACGTATTGTCAATATTTTAAACACATGGAAGAATAAGGGATTATAGTCTCAATAGACAGTGATTTCATTGAACTAATAAGACAAAAATACATATGTAGCAAATGCATTGCTTTCAACTTTTTCGATTGATCTGTGTATATGGCTTGAATAGTGTCAGGAAATTCTCAGAAGGTAATATTATTCAATTTTTTTTATTATCATTTTTAAAGGTAAATGGAGGTGTGTATACAGCGTGTCATTAAATGCAGAGCTCTATTTAAAAAAAAATAAAATAAAATAAGTAAAATACCCTAAATTTCTGGAAGACATCTATTCTTAGGCAGGAACAACAACTGTAACTCATTACTTTCCATAAAAGTAATGAAGAAACACAACTAGTTGCTTATTCAGGGAGTAACTGAATATTGTAATGCATTACTTTCAAAAGTAACTTATACCAGCACTGTTATTAAGCACATTTAATCAGATTTTCTTCCTGCAAGTCAATCAAAGATAATGCACCCAAACGTTTGCGTGATCATTTTTATAAATGTCTTTTATTTTGTGATCCAGTATAAACAGATAACCTTGGAGGAAAAAGCCAAAGAAGTTTGTTGGAAAGCACTGCTTAGAGAAAGAGCGATCTGTCTATGACAGACACACCGATACACAAATCTTCAGAAATGGAGGACCGCATTTGTATCCTTTCGTCAAAAGTTCATCGGTTAGTACCTAATGAATGGAATGAACACATCCACATGCAGACCCACGGTAAGCTAAGAAACGTCTAGTCTGTTTGTCAGATAAAAACCGAGATGAGTTCTGTAGGAAACTTTGATGTCTGTCCACTTAAATATAAATTATCTGGAATATACAAAAACGCATTTACATATACATTTGTTCTCACACAGTCTTAGAGCTCCGTGTGTCCCTTTAAATGAACATTACACTTTTTTTTTTATTTTTTATAATAGGCTCATTTTACAAGTTTACAATTACTGAATCCATTCAGCCAATCTTCAGTTTTAGCTTAGCATAAATCATTGAATCGGATAAGAACATTAGCATCTTGGTCCAAAAAAAATTCAGTTTCAATAATTTTCCTATTTAAAGCTTGGCTTGGTAATATCACAACAGGTACAATGATATCACGCAGCACCTGAAAATAGTTCCCAGCAATTCTGGAACAGCTTCAGCAAGCTTCAGCAAAGAAACTGTTAAGCAAACTGAGGTATTAAACTTCACGTTGTAGAGTAGAGGTTCCAAGCGGTGAGAGATCATGGGCTTCTAAAATGACTGAAGCTTTGAATCGCTTTAGTCACGTGATCAGTGTAGCCAGACATAGCAGACTTTTTTTTGCCCAAAAGCAGACCAAAACCGGATCATATCCAAACTCGGGTCTCTCACCCACAAACTTCACTTATTGTTGTGTAGATTACACTACCTTTTAGAGGGTTTTACCTTTGAAATATGGTATAAATTAGTCCCGTCTGGCGTTTTAAATTCTCTTGAACATAATTAGGTGTTGCTTGTCAATCAGGCAACACTTTTATGTATTTTCTTTCTGTCAATTGTGTAAAAACTGATTGGTTAAAGTGTCATAATAAAGCGCTGAGTTCAACTGCAGGTGCTTAACTGATGCACGTGCACATGGAGTCAGATTTTGATACGTTTCCTTCACCTCCTCTTGCCGGTCTGCACAATGTTTTGAAACACTTGCGCTTTAGTATCTCAACGCTGTGTCGAAACGTTAGTTTCACATCAGCCATCTCTACTTAAAACTTAATTCTTCTGTTGTTACATTTTGTTTAAAGACTGCTATTTTTTAGATTGATTTGACTAGGAACTATACTCTCTTCCAGGTTTAATAATCAAGGAATTTTTTACTTAATAATATCACAACAGGCACCATAATATTACGCAGCACCTGGAAATAGTTCCCAGCTATGCAAGTTAACAGCACATTATAATATCATTGTGCCTGTTGCAGCCATGGTACAGCAGCAAAGTTCCTTGATTGTTACGCCAGTATAAGAGTATAGTTCAAAAATAGCAACTTTTTAATTTCAGTCTTAGTACATGATGCAACTACAGACAAGTTTAGCATAAAACAGGAAAATTACCAAAACTCAAAACATTTTTTGAGAGAGATGCTAATGGTCTAATTCGATTCAATGATTTATGCTAAGCTAAGCTAAAAGTGCTGCCGTCAGACTCAGAGATCGGCTGAATGAATTCAAAAATGGTAAAAAAAAACAAAAAAAAACATCACTTTAACTCTAGCGAAGTTGTAAAACTTGATTGCCTATTTCAAAAAAAAAAAAAAAAAAGTGAAGTGTTCCTTTAAGCAGTACGTCTATTTGCACCTCAATAAATGACAAGCTACTTTCATCACACCATCCCACATGCCTTTTTAAAAAAAACGCAGAGCCCGCAGCCCCTACATTAGTAGAGGTCACACACACACACACACACACACACTGTATTGCCTTGAAACAATGAGAAACAGCATAGGGCTGTTATAATATGGAACATGGAAGCAATAAACTCGCACCAACTACCCAAAAACCCCAGCATCCTGTTTGACTAACCACTCACAGCACTGGCGTCCAGCACTTATCTAAGTAGGTAACGCTAAGAAATATGTATTAAGGCTTTTCTGAGGACCTGAGGATTCCAAAAAACACACAATGAGGCACACAAAAGGCAAAAAAGAGCTCTAGATGCGACACACAAACAGTGAAGCGGAAGATGACGGAAAAAAGAGACGGTCAACATGAACGCCTGGTGTCTTTTCCTGCTGACCAGAGAGGATGGAGGTGACAAAAATGCTAATGATCAGCATTCAGGAGTCCGCCTTGGCCTCGTAGCAGCATTCTCTCGGGTTTCTGGTCAGGTTTTTTTTTTCTATTTTTGTTTTTTAAAATGTTTTTCGCTTTCATCCAGACGTGATTTCAGTGCAAGTTTTCCCGCGTCGTAAACAGTAAGAAGTCCTTGGAGATTCTTTGCTCGTTAAGTACATGTGACCCTCAGAGGAGCGTCGGCCTCAAATTATGATGATTAGTTGGTTTTCAGCCAAATATGTCTCGCTTTAAATGATTAAGTTTCAGACACTTGCATTCTCTTACAAAACATTGTACATGACATGCATCTAAAGCAGTTCCTACACACCCGGCGTACTGTAATAGGAACAGACAGACCGACTGGATCAAACAAACCAAAGAGAAACAGAAAAAAAAGGTAAAAAGCTAAATATGTCTAACATACAAAAGAAGCATGTGACATATATTCCTCAAATTTTTTTTAAGCTGCTTTGGTAACATCAAATTCAATCCCATAATCCTTCGATCTCATTTTGAATTGGCTAGTGAACCACACAACCCGTTTTTTTTTTTTTTTATCGCTTTTCTCTTCATCCTGGTATTATGGTTCACGTAGGTCCTCTGGTTTGTATGAATGGGTTTTCATCGATCTGTCTGAGTCACTTTTCTCAGAGTCTCCTTTGGAGGAAGACCGTGTGGCGTGAAGTCAGCGGCCCGCGCTGTGTTCTGTCATAAAGATGTGCGAGCTGTGAGAGACAGAGCTATTGTACTGAGAGCTGAGAGAGTGGACACACTGGAAGCAGAGCCGATGGCGTTGGGACCTGAAAGAGAACGAAATAAATGGAGGTAAAATGAAGCGCTAAAACAAACAAGAGCAAGATTTATCATGACAGTTAAAGATCTCAGTTCCAAAGAGTATCTGAAGCTTGACCCTTTTTTAACCTGTCCAGTTCTCCACTACTTTTAGAGGGAGTCAAAATGCATTTCATTAAATAGTTTTTTTTTTGTACTGTAAACTTTGAATGCATTTAAACCGCCAAAAACAAACAAACAAAAAAAAAAACACAGATAGGACACTAAAAAAAGGTTTAATTGGATTTACAAATAGTTTTAAAGGGCACCTTATTTTACCCATTTTAAAAGATGTAAGATGAGACTTTGGTGTCTTCAGAATGAGTCTGTAAAGTTTTAGCTCAAAATACACATCAGATTTTTTGTTATTGCTTCCAGAATCTGCCCATTTTGTTGTCTGACTACAATGTAGCTGTTTTTGTAGCCTGTGGCCTTAAATGCAAATGAGCTGCTTCTCCCTGCCCCTCGTTCCCACATGTGTGTCTGCTTCTCCTGTTACGTCATATAAACAGCAGTCAGTGATAGAGACAGAAATACAGCTCATTAGTCAAAAATACCAAGGAAGTTTATTTAATCTATTTGTGGTGGAGTTTATTCAAGCCTTTCTGAAATGATGAGTCACACACAAATTCTGTTTGCAGTAGAACTGCATGATACTGGCTACAATGAGAATCACGATTTTTTGCTTGAAATAAAGATCACGATTTTCTCACAATACAGTAGATGTAAAATAAAAGTTAAAATGAGCCTGCTATTATTATTGTTATTCCTCAAACATATGGTAACACAACAATATTACTAATATTATGTGTAGGTCTAGTGGTTTCTATAAATAATTCGATTCTACTTATAATATTTCTGATGTTGGTTTGTTATGTTTGAGATATGCTTGCAATCTGTCATTGACAACATTATTAGACCATTTTATCCACTGCTAAAATCAAACATTGTTCATTATTAGATTACATTATATAGGCTAGAGTAGGTATATTGACACTGTAAACATTTATTTTCATGCACAACTTTGTGTTCGCTATCAAAGAAAAACATATTAAATGCTTGTCGTAATCATAACTCTAAATTGCGATAGGATTATTTAAATGTGTGCGTGCTTTCGGTTTCATTTTCACTGCTAAGTGCTGTTCATACTTCGTGCACGGCTCCCAAACGATCACTCTGTGCCACAAACTGAATGTTATTTACAACTTTATTACCTGTTATTCACAGCCTATGCAGGTTCTGTTCACTAAAGTAGACGCGCGCGTGTCTATCATTAAGTAGCACAGTCAGCAGCTCACGTCACATGTGATTTCGCGGCAGCGAATACATCATTACATGAGGACAAAAATGACATTTTTGGGCTAACTATACCTCATAAATACAGGATGTGACTCTTTTAACATCATTCGGAGGTGTCCATGTCATTGAGCAACATATGTTAAACAATGAGAAGACTTGTGCAGCCGCCTTTTCTTATCTCCTGAACTTGAAAATATGATTGGCAGAATCGTTGAAATGTATATATATATGTGTGTGTTTACTGATACCATGCGGTCATGGTGATTATAGCGGTTAAGTATTACATATTGATTTTACTTTCTTTATTATAAACATGCTCTGTTTTAAAAACGTTTTATAAAAAGCACAGAGAGTTGATTTTAATCTCAGTTTATTTGAAAGTAAAAAAACATTTCTGTGGACGTGTATAGATGTTAACATAGAAAATTGGTGCCTGTCAATCAATTTGGTGGAGAGGGTAAATCACAATCCCACGTCACGTTGCAGTGGGCCTCAAAATCACTGGGATTTGGGTCCTATTTTAATGTCAGGAAATTTAAAAAAAGAGACTTGTTGTGTTTCTATCACTCCAATATGACACTGGACATATTATACTTACACACAGTTCTGTCCAAACAGCTTGAAAAAAGCTTGAATCAACAAAAGTTGATTTTTATCATAGGTGCCCTTAAGATAACTGGTCGCAAAAAATGTATAGAGGCTGAACTTTAACAAACAAATTAAATTTAGTAATGTTTAACTTAATTTTTTTGTTTAAATTCAACTCATATACATTGTTTGCAACCACTTAACTTAAAAAAATGAGTAAACACAATGAATAATTTATAGTGCATTTATTCACCTATAAGGCGAGTAACAAATTAAGAGGGAAGGGTCTCAAAATCTGAACACTAGTGGTCACAAATAAAGCATTTAATTGTTAATCCCAGAAACAAATAGCAGCTGAAGTGAATCTAATTTAAAGTTCAAAAGATTAAAATTCTATATGTGAGTTATGTGGATTCCATCAAGTTGTTAGAGCAGCCGACTGTTTGTACCCCAGAAAACCAACAAGGTAAGCATAATGGAGTGAGCTGCGTTTATTCAGCAAATGTGTATCCCTCTCCCATTATTATTCACATTTAAAAACCACCACCAGCAAATATGAAAATGTTTTTTAGTTCGAAGTTTGCCATTTACATCAATTGTTTCTCATGCGATACTGCCAATCGGTTCTGCCAATGTTTAATCTAATCTATTAATTATTGTTTTGGCAAGTTATATGCATATTACATTTTGCAGGGAAATCACCACAATGAAAGAAATTGAAAATATACTAGACATTACAGATATTGTCATTATTTGGTGAGCAGCCATGTAATCAGCTGGATAATGTACAGTCTGCTGGTCATTACCTCAAAATAAACCCCTTTATATATACACCCTTTTATATCAAGCCCCTGATGCATACTGACCTCCCTGCTGAAATAATTTTGGGATAATGAGTGTCTGATCTTACATTACTCTTTACATATTATATTTCTTAATATTTTTTTTATATAATATTTGTTTTCCTTTTAGAAACTAGTGAACTGGAAGTTACCGCACAATTTCAGTTGGATGATGTATTTACAACTGAAAGTGAATATTGAGTAGGGGGCGGGGTTTTATTTTTGCACCTCTCCTCTCATTATTCGCTTGCATTTAACAGGAGGGGCGTGGCTAAAGATATTTCACTCAAACTGACATCATTAGAGAAGGGCTGTTGTTTTAGTGTCAGCCAATGGTTAGATTTTTATGAGAGATTACTAAAACAAATACATTTTTTATTCATTAGATAAATTTCAGATGTGCGCTACCAGAATACACATGGTACATTTTGATTTCAAGTGGACTTTAAATACAATCTATGATAAATTAAATATGACAGCAAAGTATTTTCCACCTGATATTCTGGGAATGGTGATTTGTCGGCTGCTGCTGCCTTCTCCTCCCTCTCCGAACGGTTTGATCTGGATGATGTACTCCTCATCTGTGGGCAGGGAAAGCTCCACTGAGGTGGTGTTGGTCTCCATAACGTTGGGTCTGCTGAAGCGGTTCCTCCTGTACATGACCTACAAAACAATCACAGAATATTTTGAAACACTGATCTCCAGTTACATCATCTCTCAACTTCACGTCAGGTGGATACAAGACTTTTATTTTACAGTGTGTACATGGTGTGCACTTACCTCAGACAGTATTGGGTTATACAAGTAACTAGGTAAGGTTAGGTTTAGGGTAATGTTTAGGGATAGTACCTAGTTATAACTCAAATTATGTATGACTACTGAATGATCAGAACACTATGTACTTTTGAAAAAGAGCTAATCTTATTTTTATGCAGTACCTATTTATCTGTAATATGCAAAAAATGCATTTACATGTACATTTGATTTCACACAATTTTAGAGCTCTGTGTGTTCCTTTAAATTATTACTATTTTATTTTTAATTTTTGAGCAAAATGCTAATGGTCTAATCCGATTCAATGATTTATGCTAAGCTAAGCTAAAAGTTACTCAAGTTTATGTAATGACTATACTGTATGATAAATATGATAAGTAAACTGTATACCGTATGTACATATAAAAAAAAGCTCATATACTTTTATATACTTGTAGAAATATATATTTTTAGATACTAGTGTCAATTAATAAATAATAATAAATACCTGTACTTATTTATTAGACATGCGTCCCTAATAAATCAAAACATTTTATTTTTTCACACACCACTATTTACTCATTGGACTGTCGGTTTTATTCATTAGATTTGCAAAAATTAAACAGAGAGTTGTAATTAGATACTGATACACTTAATAATGCTAGTACTTATTGCTCAAGTGTCTATTAAATAGATACCGGAACAGTAGAATTGAGTATTTAGTAGAAAATAATGGAAAATATCCATTAGGTGCTAATATTATTTTTTAGGCTATATTTGCCTTTTGCCATTGACAATAACACAGATGCAGTTTTTAATCTAGGTTAAAATGGCTCATTTGAATTCTGCCGAAGGCATTCAGAACCTGTGTGCTACCCAAATAATAAGTCTTTGAGAACGGGTTTCTTAAGCCAGGTGGCGCATTAGACCAGGGGCTCATCTCCTGTTTCCAAAATGCATCACAAACTGCTTGAGAAACTTTTCTACAATGATAATTGGTGATGAAAATAAATGATGTCCAATAAGTTATACTTGTGTTTACGAACTTTTTATGAATTTTGAACTGTAGGCCTACATAAGGTCCAAACAGCAATTTTTGATCACCTTAATCTGACTAAAGTCAAAACTGAACTAAACAGAGATGGAATTAATTAATGTGGAGTATGCAGATATTAGTGGCATTATTGAAGTAAACAACGTGATTAGTAAACACCGTCATGTAGGTCTTTTTGCCATATTTTCCTATAAGATCCACACACATTGGGGTCAGTAAAGGACCAGACACACAACGCAGAAGTTATTTTTCTTTCCATTTGGCGTGCGTTATTAAACTCTATAACACTCTCACCAGTCCTTACTCCTTATTTGCATCTAATACCCAGATTGTCACGGGGCCATGGATGAAATGTTCATGAGTTAAAGTAAAACAGCGCAACTGCAGTTAAAGTCAGGCATCCTGCTGATTTGACTTATAAGGGCACTTTTTTGTCAGACGGCTCACCGGTCAGGTATACATCCGTGCTAAAATATCAAGGTAAAAGTCATCATAGCTTGCGTAGAATAGATCCAGCTCCCAATCCAACTTTGAGAATAGATTAACGGCAATATTTTTTTAATCGTGTGATAAGAGTCTTGCATTAATGCAGCACGTTAACACCGATAACGGCCCACCACTATAAAATATCAAAGTTCTTCATTTTCAGGAGTTTACTCGTAAACAGCAATGGCTTACGGAACATTTTGCAGTCCCTAAAAATAATGTTGTTAGTTAAATGTACAGGGTAAATGTGTAAAAACTTCCCATTTTTGTCAGAAAACCTTAGATATTAGCACTACACATAACTAGATAATAGCACTTTATCATTAGATGCTAGATTTTCATTTATTAAATGTTACCCTGGAACACAAACATCTTTTTTTGTGTAAATATATACATTATCCACTAGCTGAATAAATAAGCTTTCCACCAAGGGATATTGGAAAATCTGAAATCTGACGGTTAAAAAAAAGTTTGGATGAAATCATCTTTAAAGTTGTTAAATTAAGTTCTTAACTGTGCACATTACTACAATTGAGTTTTATATACAGTACATTTACTGTAAAAATATTTACAAAATACAGAAAAATGTATCTTAATATTCTAATGATTTTTGGCATTAAAAAAATCAATAATTTTGACCCATATAACATTTTGTTTCTTTGCTATTGCCAAAAAATACACATGCAACAAAGATTGGTGTTATGGTCTAGTGTAATGAAAGTCATACAGTCTCTATTAAACAGATATTATGACACATTACACATTCTAAATACAGAAAGAGTTTTACAAAGTCACTTGGCTTACCTTATATCCCATAACCTCTGATTCATTTTCCAGTGGCTTCACCTGTTCCCAGTTCAGGATAATTTTAGAGTTGGATGTATTCCACATGACTTTTGATGGCGGCTGGCTGGGAGCTGAATAAAAACACACAATCAGACAATAATCTAATAAAACCTAATAACCATTAAACTTTTAGGCACACTTACGAGGCTTTTTGGTAGTAATGTTGACCACTGGACTCGGTGGGCCTGTTCCTGCTGTGTTGTAGGCTCTCACCGTTATATAATAAGTGCTACTTCCTTTTAAGCCCTGAATAATAGCCAGCGTTCGGTTTCCAACTGTCCTCAGAACGCTAGACGCATCTTCCTTCTCATTCTTCTCCCAGTATCTCAACTGTGGAGAAAAACAGAGAAGCACTCAGCATTAAACTTTCATAAACTTTATTGCGATATCATTTAAAAGCAGTGGAATAAAGCGTTCGTTCATAATCTTCTGCAGCTCTGGTTACTCAAGCACTGGAGTGTGGCAGTATTGAAATGAATCTGTCGTATAGGCACAATCATCGCATGCAGCGTTTGGCGAAACTGTCAGCTTGACGGATTCTGCTTTTCCCTCCCCGAGTCTCTGGACAGTCCCGGTCCAAGAGTCAGAGATGGATGATGCACACACCTAATTTGTATTTTATTCCACAACTGTTAGCAAAGGACAAAAAAGGTCTCTGTGCATTACTTGATCCTTACTGATGATTTGGCTAAACAACTTACAAAAAATAAAAAATGACTAACAATAGTACACTCAAAATATCAATTTTCCTGCTTGTTCAAACTACTTAGTTTGAAGAACTCTTAAGTTGTTTTTGGGACAACCTAATCATTTTATTTTGAATCCTCTAACAGTACATTTGTTAAAACGAAATAGAGATAACTTAATCAGTTTGTGTTGAAACAACATGAAGAAATAATGTGGAACCCAGCCTTTTTACAGTGTAACTTGAGTTCCACACTATTCAATTGTGTTGGGTCAACATTAGGGAATTAAGGTAACTCACTAGTTTTTGCAAATTTAAGTGGATTGAACATGAATAATTAAAAAAAAAAACTCAATAATTGTGTTGTTTTAACTCATTTTACATAAGTAGTCTGGACAAATAACAAACATAATTCTTTAGTGTGTACTGGGCTCCTATTAAAGGTGATTGTCTTCAGAAACATATTTTGTAGTTGAAAGTCTCTTCACATTCCAATAGTAATGATTAAAGTAAATGATCTAAATGTGTTTTATATGTATTTTTATATATTGGGTAAGACATAAAACAAAAAAATGTTCATCCAATTAAATAAAGTCGGGCCGCCATCTCTCATAATTCCGATAAGTAGCTCAAACTGTCTGTCAGCAAATGCAGATTTGAACAACTGTGCAGCCGTTTGTACGCAGCTCCGCTGACCGATGTTTGTGCATAGACGTGCTGCGCATTCAAGCAAGAGAGAGAGAGGGAGAGAGAGCATGAGGGCGCGTGATCGGCAAACACATGCTGAATCAAAACTTTTTAAAAACCTCAATCAATATTGGAGTTACTTTTGCACGCTAGAGAAAGTATGACACCATGGCTCAAGGATTTCTCTTGGTAATGTTCTGTTTTAAAACTATTTTAGCTTCACGCAAAGCTGATGTAACGTTAGATGTTGTTGTTACAAATGGGTTACATCTTCACAGAAGTGTTGCTTAGCCACTAAAATCTTCTGGTGAAAGATTGATAAGACTATTTTCAGTTTCATAAGGAACCTTTTACAGCAGGGCTATTCAATTGGCGGCTAGCGAGTCGAACCCGGCCCCCGAGGCAAATTGTTCTGGCCCTTCAAACAGTGTGACCAAGACATCAAAAATAAATTTAGTTCAGTTATGAAGTTTTTTGCATTTTTTTTGGACAGAATGAAACGAAACTGCTGCAATTAAACTAGGTTATGCCAAGTTGCCAAGCCAACTGTGCGATAGTTTAAAGTTCCAAGTATGCACACCGAGGCTAATACGCACGTACATTGGAATAACTACAGCAGCGGCCGTTCCCATATTACGTCTTTTCAGCTTGCAAGTTTGTTATTTAATGTTATCTAATGTAAGAATATATGACAATATGCGCGCACAAGCACTATTTGCAGTTTCAAAATACAATATATTAGCATTTTAAAGCAGAAAAAGCCAACGTGGGTCTCTTAAAGAGCAAAAATACAGCATATATTATGTTGTGTTATCATTCATATAGCAAGTCATATCTCTCCGGCCCTTCGTTTGGGATGCTTTTCATGAACCAGCCCCAATGACAAACTCATTTAATAGCCCTGTTTTACAGCATCGATAATGTAGATTTTAATTAGTTTAACAACAAAACACAAGTAAATAATTATTCCGCCTAGTCTCTCCCTATATTGTTTACCATGCAACTCTAAATATTCGCTTTGAAATAGCATGTCAGTTTGGCTTAGTAATGAGTGTAATTTCTGCACGCCGCCGTACAAGCACTAGTCGCTTTTAACAGAGGGTTCTTTTGCTGTCATCTTTAAGGTGCGCGTGTTCCTGTTTCAGGAGGCGTGGCTCTGGATGGCAGAGGAGGGACTGTGATTCAGAGATTTATGCTAAGCTGTTAGCATTGTGGAAATCACCTACTGCACCTTTAAGTATGTTACATAATATTATAACTGCTCATGTACACTACTGTTTATAAATTGTGAGTTTATAAGTGTTACTGTTTCTATGAAGTGGGGTTTATATTATTACACTCTCTGTAAAATAATCTGTTTAACTGCACAATACCTCAGTCTACAGTGTCACGTGATTCTTCAGAAATGGTTGTGATGAGATGATTTGCTGGTGAGATATTTTTTTTTTATCTTCATAAATGTTGAATGTGTTTGTGTTGAGAAACTATTAAAAGTTGTGTTTTTTTGTGGAGATTAGTTTAGAAATACACTAAAAACGACAACAGAGGTTTTTTTTTAATGTTACTTTAACTTATTTGAATAGTTAATAAGTTTAACTTCATGGACATTAGTCAGTTTAACTATTGTAAGTTGAGATGACTAGAACATTTAATTAAAGTCAACTGAAGAATTTAAAGCAGTAAGATGTTTTACAGTGTTTAACAAAAGTTTAAAATATGAAATAGAAATCTTAAAGGGAGAGTTCACCCAAAAATGAAATTTACACACCATTTACTCATCCTCAAGTTGTTCCTAACCTATTAAGAGTTTCATTTTTCTGTCAACACAAAAAAAGATATTTTGCAGAATGTAGTAAACCACGGGTGACCACAGACTTTTTAATAGGTAAAACAAAAACTATTGAAGTCAATGGTTACATGTTTTCAGTATTTCCAGAAAAAAGGAAATAAACCGGTTTGTGACTAATAGTAAGTAACTGATAGCATAATAATAGTAAATGATAACAGAATAGCTGTTAAATGTCCCATTTATCCCTTAAATGTCACTATAGCCAGTATTGATCTGATTTAATATGTCTTTGTTAAATAAAAGTATTATAAAACACTTACAAACAAACTTGTATGTTGGCATATTTTGAAATACATTTAAAATGTGTTTATACACATTTATATATGCAACCAACAATTTATAAATAAAAGTCTTCATTGATTATTTTTAATTAGTTTTTAAAATGAAACATTGTAAGCTATTAAGTGTTAATTTCACAAAATAATTGATTTAGGGGTAAATTAAATAGTTCAGTAATAAAAAACTATTAATTATATATTACCAGTTTTTAAGAAATTGTGAGTAATGCTGCCAAGTTCATTGAAGTATAATTGAAAGAAAAATGTTTAAAAATTGTATTAACTCTGACTCAACTTTAATTTCAGTTTTGAAAAAGAAATCTTAAGTAAACAAAATTATTAGTTTAATGAACATAGAGTTCTTTTTTCTATGCCTCAAAAAAAAAACAACAAAAAAAAAACATTCCTCATCCTTACTCAAGCACTAAATTCTCTAAGCCCAAACAATTAATGTGTGTAATTATTACTTCTTGTGTGTATTAAATTGCTGAATACCTCCACAATTGTATGTCGCTTTGGACAAAAGCGCCTGCTAAATGACTAAATGTTAATGTAAAAGTGTATAATTTACCTCGTATCCGAGAACACGCTTTTTGCTGGTGCTCCAGGGCAGGGCTTTCCAGGACACCTCAACGTCAGACGCTGAAAGACTCTTGGCTCTGAGTCGACTGGGTGCTCGTCCAGGCTCTGAATTCCAAGAAGAAAATCTTCGATTAGACCCGTTTTTTTCAACAAACATCTTGAAAGTCTGACTTTTTGTTTTGGAAAAAAAAAACCAAGGCTAGCCATGATTAATGGGCTCTGGCACAACACACTTCAGTTAACTTGGCTTCTATTAACTGCCTGCTAAGCGTCGCAGAGTGAAATGTCAAAAGGTACACTGGACTTTAATTTGTGTGTTGCGGCTGTTAATAAGACTGACCCTCCTCAGCAGAGTAGATGGTGATCACCGGTCCAAAAGGTCCTTCCCCCTTGTTATTGTACACCCCGACTTTGACTTGGAACGGAGAGAAGGGTAAGATGGTCTCGTTTTTGAACACGTATTTGGAGGCTTCAGGAGAGGGAACTGCCGCCTGCATCCACCCGGTGGAGCCAAAGGGCCGGAAAGCAACGACGTAACCAAAGCCTGCTCCATTCTGGAGCTCTTCAGGAACAGGCTGAAACACACATTACACACACACATTACACACATATATCCACAGTACAAATGATAGCCTTTATTATAACATCAAGTCTGATATATTATCTTTGAACACTCTTTATATGGCATGAACCATGATAATGCTAAAATATTCATCAAACGTTATGGTTTGAAGGCTGTTCACAGCAGGGATGACATAGATAAAAATGCTTAATTTTCCCCACTTTTAATGCATGTATAATCTTTAATATTTTAGTTATTACAATTTATGCACATAGCAAAATCAGTCTATCTTCTGTGTGAATTGTTATTAAAAAAAAGAAATATAAATACATACAGTTGAAGTCAGAAATATTAGCCCTCCTTTAAATATATTTTTTCTTTTTTAAGTATTTCCCAAATGATGTTTAACAGAGCAAGGACATTTTCGCAGTATGTCTGATATTATTTTTTCTTTTGAGGAAAGTCTTGTTTTTTTATTTCAGCAAGAATGAAAGCAGTTTTAAATTTTTCAAAAAGCTTTTTAAGGTCAAAATTATTAGCCCTTTTAAGCTATATATATATATTTGAACTTTTACAGAACAAACCATCGTTATACAATAACTTGCTTAATTACCCTAACCAGCCTAGGTAACCTGATTAACCTAATTAAACCTTTAAACGTCCCTTTAAGCCGAATAGAAGTGTCTTGAAAAAAATATCTAGTAAAATATTATTTACTGTCATCATGGCAAAGATAAAATAAATCAGTTTTTTGAGATGAGCTATTAAAACTATTATGTTTAGAAATATGTTGAAAAAATCTTATCTGTTAAACAGAAATTGGGGAAAAAATAAACGGGGTCTAATAATTCAGGGTACCTAATAATTCTGACTTCAATTGTAAATAAATACATAAATTAATTAAACTAAACTAAAATAAAATGTATTATTATTACCAACTTATGGTATTTGACCAGCAAAAAAAAAAAAAAAAAAAAAAAAAAAATCAAGGTCCTAAAGGTCAGCCTTTTAATTAAGGTATTATTAGTTATCCTTTTTTTTATAATAATAATAATAATTTTTAAAGTTTTGTTTTTGAGACTGCAAATGACATAAGAAAAACACAATATATGTTTAAACCCTGATAACCTGAAACAGATCTCAAACAAATCAAAGCAAACATGAAAACGTACAAAAATAGAAATTGTAATTTTATTAAAGGGCACCTATGATGAAAATTCCCTTTTTGTAAGCTGTTTGGACAGAACTGTGTGTAGATATAGTGTGTCCACAGTTATATTGGGGGGTATAAAGACAATAAGTTTCTTTTTTAAAATGAACTGACGTTAAAATAGGAGCCAAAATCCCTCCCATTTTGAGTCCCACTGCAACGTGACGTAGGATTGTGGTTTCCCCGCCCACTGAATTGATTGACAGTAGTGTATTAACATGTCTCCGTAGTAACACGTATGATCATATCAACAAAACAGGAAGTGCGCAAAGCAACTGGGATTAAAAGATCTGTTGAGCTTTCTGTGATCATCAACCATCATCAAATGTGTTCAAGAATGAGATTTACAAGTTTAAAAGGTTTTTTAAAAACAGAGCATGTTTGTAATTAATCACAGTGATTTACTTTATCTTTACTTCATCCCCACAGCCGCATGTCAGAATAAGTATAAAAGAAGACGCTTCAATCCCGATTTGTGGACAATAAATCAGGTTAATTTAGTAAATTAGCATAAAAGATATCTATACATCAGTGGATATTAAGGTGTATCTTGTCACATATGCTGTGCAAAAACAGTGCAAAGTTAAACACGCGCGCTGTGCGTGTCTGTGTGTGTGTGTGTGAACTTTGTAACGACATTGTTCTTAGTGTAGTATTTCTTACTAACATTAAGTCAGATCTGCTTCCTTCATGTCTTTCTGTTATCTGATGCAGCAGAGACGGAGATTGAGGCACACAGGCAACAAAAACGGCTACAGTGTGTTCAGAGCAAAGAAAGCCAACATTCTAAAAGGTATAATAAATAATCTGATGGGTGTTTTGAGCTGAAACTTTAAAGACACATTCTGGAGACAAAACACATCTCTTGAATCTTGAAAAAGGGGTAAAATTGGTGCCCATTAATGTTCAGAAAATGTGACAGATTTATTCTTGCTGCTATGGTTTATCAATGCAAATTTGATACATTTTACAAATTATGTCTCATAATTATGTTAGATATGCTCTTTTGGATGTCAGTGGCTACTAGTGGTTTCAACATTCCTCAAAATATCTTCTGTTTCATTGGAGAAAAAAAAAAAGAATCCCATAAAGGTTTGTAACGACATTAGTTGCAACAATATTCATTTTTTAGTTGAACTCTCTCTTTAATGCTGGTGTCTCTGCTTAAACCCTTGAGGCTGTGATGTTTTGGCTCTCAGGCGACAGGCGTGTGACTTTGCTGACATCTGCCAGACATCAGACGGAGTGTTGACGTTAATCTCTGCAGTGCTATAGCTGTCACCCAGACCTCTTCAGCAGACAGGGATTCTCCATCTCCCAGAAAATCGCTTTGCCAGGTAATGATATCATGGTGGCTTTTTTTGTTTGTTTGAAGTATCGGTCTGCCACTGACCATGCCATAATGCGGTGCGGTAACGCTGAGACCACCAGAAAATAGCATCCATTAGTCTGTGAGACTCCGAGGAGGAGGAGAGATGATGTTTTCACGCTCGCACACTTGGGCAGGAGAGCTTAATGGCTGAATAAAAATGCACCTGTAATCAAGCGCACGCTCCAGTGTCTGCTGTGAAAAGAACAATTGGCCACGGAGGGACCAAAACTAATAGGATGGGTGTCCAAAACCTTGGGATAGAACCTACACTGGCAGCTGCCTTCTACGATTGTCATAGGACTGAAATTAAAGCTCATATGTGGCTGATGTGGAGCAGAAGAGTTATTGCTGTTGACTGATTTCAAACTGATTTCAAGTCTAGTAGTGTAATTATCAAGCTAATGCAGTATATGAGATATTATATGTTTATTTTGTTTGATAGCAATTTGAAGAGGTGTTTATTTTATTGTTTGTGTGTGTGTATGTGTGTGTGTGTGTGATTTAAACTACAGAAATGTAATCATACTTAATTTAAAATTTAGTTGAAGGCAAAATTATTAGCCCTCCTGTGAAATGAGCCTCCTCCATTCAGCCTTTTTATTTTACCTTTACTCTTTACTTTACTCCTTTACTTTCGTTGAGTAAGGAAAGGGTGAAAACTCACTCCACTGAAGACATCCATTAGCCTACATATTTAATTAAATTTGTTAAGTGCAAAGATTTGTTTCGAAACTATTTCTTAATTCATTTCTTATTTCCAGCAAACAAATAAATAAACAATAATAATGAAGTGTGGTCAAAAAAACACATATATAAAATAAAAAGACAACATATCCAAACACACATCCTATTCTTATGCCCTATGAGGATGCAGATGTCTCCAAAACCCGACATGTGGACAAATCTAAACTTTTTTTTTTTTTACTAAAACAAATAAAAAGATGCTTTTAATAAATAATAATAACATTATACAAATGAAAATTGTCATGAATAATCTGAAAAAAGCCCCTCCACATGAAGAAATCATGGAGGCAGTGGTTTTTATATTTATGTAGAAAATAGTGCTGTATATCCTGTGTGTAAGTTTGGATGTGCACAGGTGCATAACTAATGCGCTCTATGCTGGACTTTAGACCAGCTTTTAGCTGGTCAACAACGCAATCTATACAATATGCCAACAATACGCCTTAACACACCTCTTTTTTCGACCGGAACACCCATGAGTCCACAAAGTGGCTCAGATGGATTTGTTAATTAGACAACATGGCGCAAAACATGAAAATTAGTGTTGTGCTGGTCTGAAAATAGCAACAAATCCCGCCAAACACGTCTTGCGGCTTATTGCATCGGGTGTATAATAGGGCCCTAAAAGATTGTTCACAGAAATAGCGATACTGCATTTTAATAGAAAGCAGACTGAAGCTGTTTCCTAACTTTACATGATAAATTCTCTCCAACACAGATCTGAATGCCCACTGTGAGGTTGAATAAACATGTGAGATTGAGATCATGATCTTTTTAACGATTAATCGCACTGCTCTATTTATTAGTTCTACGCTTGAGAAAAGATTCAAATACACTAGATTTTGTACAGTAAAACCCACCAGCACTTCTAGCATCTGAAGAACGCGGTGGTGGATCTGAAGTAGAAGAAGACATGAGATTCTTTCCAATAAAAGATTTCGCGTTCTGTGCCATTCGTCATTTTTTTTTATTTCAAAGACAACACAATGAGAGTCTTAGACTGAAGTTTCCAGTTCCCTGTGACAAACTTCCACCTCGATAGATAATAACACCAGCTGACTCTCAAACCTGAACAATAGCACTCGTCTCATGAAAGCAGATACAGCGAGAGAGAACATCATCTTTGAAAAGTTCCTCGGCAAAAATTCGAGGGTAACTCCATTTAATTATCTCTGCTGCTTCTCCTGTATGACAGCGGCAGTTATTGCCACGCAGCTCTTACAGAAAATGAAGTGTTATGTGTATCCGCTTTACCATGATTAATGAAAACCTCACATAAAGGGAACAATGGTGTCTAGCCAGCTTGCAAAAGGAGACTGTGTACAAAAGACTCGGTAAGGGAGAGAAACACACACACACACACATACGCACACACACACACACACACTGGCCATCTTACCTCCCAAGTGATGACTAACTCTGATCGACTGCCACCTCCTCCGCTCACGTTGGCTGGCGTGACCTTGGGAACTGGAGGAAGGAAAAGATTTACTCAGCTCTGGTCATTGAAGACTGCTGTTCTGACGTAGGATTTGACGATTCAACGATGTTTGATCTAAAGAAGGTTTTTATTGCATGTGTATTTTTAGATGCTGCTCATTGTTTTCTTTTGAACTGTTTACTTGTGTTATTTAAATGTTTAACTGTTGATTTTTTCTTCATTTTCAAATATTTTCTTAGTGATGTTTAACAGAGCAAAAGGAAAGCTTCATAGTATTTCCTATAATATATATATTTTTACCATCTGGAAATGTCATTTCTTTATTAAAAGCATCTATAAAAGCATTTAATTATTTTTTGAATACTTTTTAGGTCAATAGTATTTGCCCCCTTAAGAAATATGTTCTTTTTTCTAAAGAACAAACAATTGTTGTCCAATGATGTGCCTAATTAACCTAACTTGCCTAGTTAACCTAATTACACATCTAAATGGCACTTTAAGCCAAATATGAATATCTAACAAGTAAAATAATAATTATGAGTAAGTATGAGTAAAATATTATTACTGTCATCATGACAAAGACAAAAAATTCTGTTATTAAAATAGTTTGTAAAGTTTTCGAAAACAATTTCAAGTCTTTGTAATCCTGCACTTGGGCTTTTTCTTTTTTAAATAATTAGACCTTCAGAGAAGGACCAGAATTGAGTTCTGGTGACTGTGGAGGCCATTTGAGTACAGTGAACTCATTGTCATGTTGAAGAAACCAGTCTGAAATGATTCGTGCTTTATGACAGACACGTTATCCAGCTGGAAATAGCCATCAGAAGATGGGTACACTTTGGTCATAGAGGGATGAACATGGTCAGCAACAATACTCAGGTAGGCTGTGGCATTGGCACAATGCTCAATTGGTACTAATGAGCCCAAAGTGTGCCAAGAAAATATCCACCACTCTTTTACACCCCCACCAGCCTGAACCATTGATACAAGGCAGGATGGAACCATGCTTTCGTGTTGGTGACACCAAATTCTGACCCTACCATCTGAATGTCACAGCAGAGACCGAGACTTGTCAGACCAGACAACATTTTTCCAATCTTCTATTGTCCAATTTTTGTGAGCCTGTGTGAATTATAGCCTCAGTTTCCTGTTCTTAGCTGACAGGAGTGGCACCCAACGTGGTCTTCTGCTGCTGTAGCCCATCCGCCTCAATGTTTGAATTGTTGTGCATTCAGAGATGCTCTTCTGTATGCCTCAATTGTAACGAGTAATTATTTGAGTTACTGTTGCCTTTCTATCAGCTCGAACCAGTCTGGCTATTTTTCTCTGACCTCTGGCATCAACAAAACATTTGCGCCCACAAAACTTGGTTGTGTGTGAAACATATATATATATATATATATAAGAAGTGTATATTAGTATATACACACTCTACAAAAACTATTGTCAAGACAACCCATATTTTTATGTGGCTTTAACTTAATTTAATAAGTTAATCAGGTTTCAATTTTTTTTAAAAGTAATATATATATATATATATAAATATATATAAATATATATATATATATATATATATATATATATATATATATATATATATATATATATATATATATATATATATATATATATATACATACAGTTTACACACATATTATAAATTAATATTTTTATCAGTTGGATTGACGTAAGTTGAGATGACAAGAAAAGTTATTTGAAAATATTTATATTGCAATAATATTTAGCATTTTACTATGATTTTATATTTATTTTTTAAGGGTTTCTCACCTCTTATTTTGATAGAATACTAGAGGACAGGTAGGAAAGCATTGGGAGCAGAGAGAGGGGAAGGATCGGCATTGGACCTTGAGGTGAGAATCGAACACAGGTCAACAAGAAGACCATGGTACTATGTTGGCGCACTTAACCATTAGGGTATTGGCATTGTTTGCTATTTTTTATTTTCACTATTTTTTTTTTATTTAAAGATTTATTTTTTGACATTTTTGCTTTCATTTGTCAGGGCAGTAGGTTGAGAGGAAGTGAAGTTTTAGAGAGAAGGAGTTAGGATTGGGAAAGGTCGATGAGCCAGGATTCGAACTCTGCTTTCGCATCATTTGTTGGTGCGCTAACCACTGCACTGACATTTTTCACTAGTATTTCAAATTATTTTCAGATAGTTCAAATACTTAATTTAGTCCATTAATCATTTCATTTATTTCAGTACATAGAACAGCATGCATAACAGAACTTCTCAATAAATGTGAGTGCCCATGCAAAATGAGCTCACGATGTTGCTAAAGTGCATTCAGCTACGCTCTCTTCAGGGTGTTTGCTTACAGGCTGAAGTCAAAAGTGGCCTCCTTTAAATCTGGTCGGTTCGTCAAAGACCATCAAAAAAGATAACGCCACACACTGCAGGATGCTAATTGAAAGAGCCTCCTGCAGACTATGGCGTGTGTCTTTTCCTCACCTGTGTCTTTGGTCCGGGCTTTCTTGGAGGGTTTGCTGGGCTCTCCTGTGCCCACTGCATTGCTTGCCAACACTCTGAACTCGTACTCCACCCAGGGGTTGAGCTCAATTACTGTAGCAGTGAGATGTGAGCCCCCCACCACCTCTGGCACTGGAACAAAGCAAAACACACACATACTGTGAGACGAAGCCCCCCGTGAGCCTGCGAAGCCCCCCCGCTCACACACACAAAACAAGACGCACAGCGGCGCTTTCTTCAGCTCACTGAGATAACAGAATCCAGAGGTAAGACACAAAAAAACAAGCTTATCGACAGGTGCTGTGAAAGCAGAGATAAAAATAACAGCCTACAGTTCAAATTATACTGTACAATCTAGAGTAAAGGGGTCACGAGATGTATTGCAGCTTATTTATGATATATTGTGTTATATTGTATTACACAGATGGTGTTTTTGTTTGATCAGAGTGTACAATAACAAAATAAAATGTATAAATTTGATTTTGTCAATCTTTCCGTCAGTCATGCCATCAATTTATCTATTTGACAGTCTATCAGTCTGTCTGTCCATCCATTCTTTATCCATCCATCCATCCATCCATCCATCCATCCATCCATCCATCGTTTATCCCTCCTTCTTTACCTCCATCCATCTATCTCTGTGTCATTCAACTTATCCAATCGTTCATCCATCCACCCGTTCATCCATCCACCTGTTCATCCATCCACCCGTTCATTCATTCATCCATCTGGCAGTCCATCCATCCATCCATCCATCTGACAGTCCATCTATCTGTCCATCCATTCATCCCTCCATCTGTCCATTGCTTATGCCTAACTCAATCAATCAATCAATCAATCAATCAATCAATCAATCAATCAATCAATCAATCAATCAATCAATCAATCAATCAATCAATCAATCAATCAACCAACCAACCAATCAATCAATCAATCAATCAATCATCCATATATTTTTTACAATCCATCCATCCATCCATCCATCCATCCATTGTTTATCCTTCTCTCCCTCCCTCCATCCATCTCTTCATGAATCAATCTTTCCTCTCATTCATCCATCCATCCATCCATCCATGTAGTCTGTAAAGATTTAAAAATAACGCAATAGGAAAATGATGATGGTCATGATGATGATTATATTGATTAATTTTCACACCTTTAAAACTCAGCAATGTTATTGTACTTCTGTGATGCTATAAGACATTCTCTGGAGCTTGGCAGCCCAAGGATACCCTTCACTATCATTGTTCAACATTTTACTATATAAAAATCTCCTTTCAGATGGCTGCTTCAAAATACAAACTGCCGTTCCCCAATACCAGCTTATTCCCATTGCCAATTTAGCAAGACATAAAAAAATAAAATAAAAATAAAAACAAGCAAATAAAGCACAAGATGAAAATCTCAGTGTTATATTATGAGAGGCAAAAAACACAGGGACAGAAAAAAAGGAAAGTATGCAGCAAATGTTTTGATCAGTAAAAGCTGGTTAGAAGCCCCACCTGTGCTAACAGCTTGCCAGCCGAGGGAGAAAGGGGTTCTAGCCTGGATGGTGTAGGCAGTAATTGGACTGTGATTATCAGGACCAGGCCTCCAGGAGAGAGTGGCAGTGGTATCTGTGATTTCTTCCACATGGATGCTGGTAGGGGGGCCGGGGGGACCTGAGACACAAGACAGCCATGCAAACCAGAAACATACACACACACACACACAAGAACACACACACATGCTGTCACGCTTGTAGGCTGCATATAAACTGCCGCTTAAAGCACATCGGTGCAGCTGGTTAAGTTCGAGCTACACGTTTTCACTGACTTAAAAGCTCTAATTAGATTATGTCCCATTTTTTATGGCTACGTTTTGCAGCAAAAACCAGCACATCTTTCCTCCATTTGGTAAATATTTACAATGCTTCAAGGGCTTGTTAAACAGTCAGCGAGAGAGGTAGTTTTCATGATAGATATTTATTATTCAGGGATGCACACAAGTGGTGCAGAGATGTGCATGTGATACTAAAATAAGAAATGCGCTGGGTACTGTAAGGTAGTTCAGATGAATTTGCCCGTTCGTGTGCTGACTGACAGTTGTTAATATACTAGCAGCGTTTTTTTTAGATGCCCATCTGAACTGAAAGCATAAATCTAGGCTAAAGGCTGTACAAACAAGAAACTGTGAATGTAGCATATATATATATATATATATATATATATATATATATATATATATATATATATATATATATATATATATATATACAGGCCACTTAATTAGGTACACCTGTCCATCTACTTGTTAACGCAAATATATAATCGGTCAATCACATGGCAGCAACTCAATGCATTTAGGCATGTAGACAATCTCCTGCAGGTCAAATTGAGCATCAGAATGGGGAAGAAAGCTGATTTAAGTCACTTTGAATGTGGCATGTTGGTGCCAGAAGGGCTGGTCTGAGTATTTCAGAAACTGCTAATTTACCTGGATTTTCACGCACAACTCTAGGGTTTATAGAGAATGGTCTGAAAAAGAGAAAATATCCAGGGAGCTCGGAGGAGAATGGTCCGACTGTTTTGAGCTGACAGAAAGGCAACAGTAAATCAAATAAGCACTCGTTACAACCGAGAATGCAGAAGAGCATCTCTGAACGCACAACATGTCCAACCTTGAGGCAGATGTGCTACAGCAGCAGAAGACCATCAAATTTGGCTGGATGTGCCGCTGACAAATCTGCAGCAACTGCGTGATGCTATCATGTCAATATAGACCAAAATCTCTAAGGAATATTTCTAGTACCTATGCCACAAACTATTTAGGCAGTTCTGAAGGCAAAAAGGGTTCCAACCTGGTACTATTAAGGTGTTTCTTATAAAGTTGTCGGTGAGAATACATGGTGATAATAGTGTTATTTTTACGTGAAATAGAAACAATTCTACTTTTATTTCATATTAGCTTTATTTAAAATATTGTAATTTTATTTTAAAAAATAATAAACCAAAGTCAATTTCAAAGTACAAAGCTATAATGTATATATGTCCATGTGTTGTAGCTTTTACAGTAGGATTACCTCTGACAATCAGGTCAGTTGCGATGGAGCTGCTGTCCACCTTGGTCTGCACTGCACACGTGTATTTCCCAGCATGCCTCAGCTGAATGTTGCGGATCATGATGTCACCTGCTGAGTGTTGCTAAAAAAAAGAGAGATCAAAGACACGGTAAGAGGCAGAGGAAGGAGATTCCGTTTTTGTTTAATTGTATTTATATATTTGACATTTTGTTGGTTAAAAACTGCATGTATTATTGCTGTTAAAACGAATGTGCTAATATATGTTATTTGAGATACATTTCACAGTCTTAATGTTCAACTGATTGATGTGCAATTTGATTACACTTTCTTTTTCTTTTTTTTTGTTTTCTTTTTTCTTTTTTGCAGCTGCCAGAGAACATGCAATTTTCTTAATAAAATGGTCACTGCTTAATCCTAATAGGAGTAATGTCAACACAGGCTCATTGGAAATACATGTCTCAACCTACATTTAAAAAAAAAAGAAAGTAAAATACATTGCTCCGGGTACGTTTTAATGCACGTTTCAGATGGCAAATCCAGTAGAGGGTGCATGGGCTGCATTTACACTGATCTTGATTGCAAATTCCAGTTTTGTTACCGTCTCCAAATTTGTTCATGATTCGCTTACATCTTCTTTAAAAAAGTGACTCGTATTCAATGTCTACATTTACACACAATGACCTGGAATAAAAAAAAGTGGTCGCTGACTAATAAGAGTGCTCTTTTCTCCATTCCTGTATTTAGGCCCAATTCTAATTCTACCCCTTAGCCCTTTCATTTACCCGCACATTCACATGAAGGGGTAAATGTGCTCTTCAGCTTGAAGGCGTAGGGCTAAGGGAAAGGGCTAGATACCCCATCAAACTGAGATTTTTTAGGACTACACTCGAAACCAAGGGGTACGAAAATTTTCCATAATATACCAGCAACAACGGCAGCATACCTGCACACGGAAGGAGATCCACAAATTAGTATTTTTTGTCATTATTACGTATTTTTACAACAAACAAGCACATGTTTTAATACACTCATAACCACCTTCCTGTTTTACTGTCATGTTAAAAAAATAATATAAATAAATAAAGTAATTCGCAAAAATAAAAACCGCTAAATTTTGCTATCTATAATCCATATTAACAACTCCTGCATAGTAGTCCCACAACACACTTTCACATCTGTCACTCGATGGCACTCGAATACTCCAAGTCTAGTGGCTGGGAATGAGTTTTTTATAGTGTCTGCTATAATGTTAATGTTGTTTTTGTGTGTTTACATAGATGAATATGGCCACGGTGTAAATGCACAGTACAGTTACAAGTTTATTGTCACATTAGATTGTTATGATAACATGATATTGTTGCCTTCAGTGATTTCCTAAAGATAAACACCAAAAAAATAATGCAACTGGAATAACCACAGCAGTCGTAATCGTCGATCTCAAATGAAGAGATCGCAATGACATATGATGATGTGTTCAGGTGCTGTAATTCGGTCACGTTTCTTAGAGGTAGAATTGTGATTGAACATTAACCTGTCCATGTGGTGTGATTTATGCAGTTTTACCAAACTAACCATTTGGTCAAATAGAGTATGCAATAGTTTTATAATAGTTTATATTTTTTTACACAGTTTTTTTACACAGTTCTCGCGCTCACTCTCGTTAACATGCTTAAATGCATTAACTTGTGCTACATCAAAATAAAAAAAGTTTTTTTTTGTTCTTGTACATGAGATTTAAGGTTCGGGACTCTGTTCCAAAAAGAAAGAGTCTGAGTTTACTTAATTCAATTCTGTTTTTAATATTGTGTGACTCGCATTGACAGGTGAAAATCTGATATACCTGCTTACACTGCAGACACGCAGGTACATATCCGATTCATATAGGATTCATTTCCACATATGAACAAGCCCTGAATCTGATCTGAGTAAATCTGAATACATGTGACTTTTTTTTTCCTGCTTACATGTTGGAAATCAGAGTTGAGTCACTTTATCCATCTAACCGGCAATATTTGTCTGTGACATTCAAGGAGGTGGAGGTACCAAAGTTGAGCACTGGGGGTGGAAAATGTTAAGTAGGATTACAAGTTGACTGGGAGGTTAAGGGTGGAGAGTGCAGTTTCATACAAATAATGGTAGTTTTTTAATAGAAATTATTAAACGGCAGGGTGTTGGGAGATGGGTGTGAAATACAGGAGACTGTCTGGAAAAACGGGTGTTGACAGGTAAGTGAACCATGCAGTGTAAATGCAGCCATAGGGGCCGATCACAGCGAACATGGATTTATGGATTTATGTTCCCAAAACGAGAGGCGCACCACACTGCCTTTTTTGTTGACAAGAAATGATGTCGCTATAGGCAATGACTGAATCAGCTGTGTATTGTGCGAGACTGTTGCTGTTTATATAAATATAATTTTAATATTTTATGAAATTGTAACATTCAAGATTTGTGAAGTCATACAGCTCCGGATAACTCAAAACAGCAACCACAAGTCTGTCCTCCATCTTCAAAAGTCTCCGTAGTTGTCTTGACAAGACAAACACTGCAGGCGCCTCAACGGAAACCCCACCTCTGCTTTCAGTTGACTGGAAAATGAAAAAGACATGAGTGACGTATCGTGCTTTTTTCACTTTTAAGAGTTGATTTTTTCAATTGCAAGCGCACCGCGCACAAGGGCTAAAAATGCAAGTTGCAGCAGGCAGGTTAAAATGTGAGGCGCGCATAAGCAGCGCGCAATACCTTAGCAGCCGTTATCATTTAAAAAAAGGCACCTCTCAACGCAAAAAAATGCCTTCGGTGTGATCAGCCCCTTACGGTATATTTTCACAAAAATGTCCTCTAGTGGATTTGTCTAAAACATGCATTGAAACATCCCCGGTGCAGCTTATTTGAAGTTCTGCAAAAATGTAGTCTGGGTGGCACGGTGGCTCAGTGGTTAGCACTGTTGCCTTGAAGTAAGAAGGTTGCTGGTTCAAGTCCTGGTTGGGCCCGTTGGCATATTTATGTGGACTCTGCATGCTCCCCCCATGTTGGAGTGGGTTTCCTCTGGGTGCTCCGGTTTGCCCCTCAGTTCAAAGACATGCGGTATAGGTAAATTGAATAAATTTGGCCGTAGTGTATGAGTGTGTGTGTGTGTGTGTGTGTGTGTGTGTGTGTGTGTGTGTGTGAATAAGCGTGTATGGGTGTTGCGGCTGGAAGGGCGTCCACTATGTAATACATATGCAGGAATAGTTGGCGGTTCATTCCGCTGTGGCAACCTCTGAAATAGAGGGAGGAAAATGAATGACTGAATGAAAAACATCTGACCAATGTATATGTCTAATGAGCCTAGGTTTCTATTATAATTTTTAACAATATTCAAGAGATTTCATCTATAGTGCTCTCTGTCTAGTCAGAATAAGATACAAAGTGTACCAGAATTTATGGCAAATCAAAAATCTGAATGTTTGGACTATTTTGATAGCTGTCTTTGTGAATAATTTACTTGATTTAAGCAAAGGTCAGATGTAGAATTAATCACTTGAATAACAGATCTTCCCTATATAGGGCATATACTTTCCCTGCACTCCTCACTCAAAGTGCCGCTATTAGGACACATCACTCATATTAAATCATAGTAATCATATTAAATAATATAAGCGTGGCAGTTTTTTGCACTTAAAATAGAGCAATTCCATCTTGAGCGCTTGTTTCTTTGGTGATGGGGCGCCTACGGATGACATGATGAACTAGACGAAGAGAAAAGCGATCAGCCCTTCAACCCCCCAAAGATGGAAAGGGGAAAAAAAAAATATCATGAACTTTTAATGAAAAGAAAAGGAACGCATGTGACTGTACAAGTGCTGTAATTCATATCACTGAGTGGGAAGCTTAATTATACTCTAGATTAATACAGAACGGGCTGTCAGTGTCTGCACACATAATGGGAAAATCTCTTATCATAAATTCACAAACTCAAAACTGTGGAATTTAATGAAAGAATTAATGTGATTTTTTCCCCCTCCTTGATAATTCAGTTGAAAGCACTCAATATGAATACCTAAAGTACAATATGTTAACAATTATTGTTTATATACAGTTGTAGTCAGAATTATTAGCCCCCTTTTGATTTTTTTAAATATTTCCCAAATGATTTTTAACGGAGCAAGGAAATTTTCACAGCATGTCTGATAATATTTTTTCTTCTGGAGAAAGTCTTATTTGTTTTATTTCGGCTAGAATAAAAGCAGTTATTAATTTTTTTAAAACCATTTTTGGGACAAACTTATTAGCCCCTTTAAGCTAATTTTTTTCGATAGTCTACAGAACAAACCATCGTTATACAATAACTTGCCTAATTACCCTAACCTGCCTAGTTCACCTTATTAACCTAGTTAAGCCTTTAAATGTTATTTTAAGCTGTATAGAAGTGTCTTGAAAAATATCTAGTAAAATATTATTTACTGTTATCATGTCAAAGATAAAATAAATGCGTTTTTAGAAATAAGTTTTTAAAACTATTATGCTTAGAAATGTGCTGAAACAATCTTCCCTCCATTAATCAGAAATTGGTGAAAAGAATAAACAGGGGCTCTAATAATTCAGGGGGGCTAATAATTCTGACTTCAATTGTACATTAGCATTTGGGTCGAAGACGAGGGAGTGTGAAGTACCAGAACTATATAAGTGTGAAATGTGTGAAGTGTGAAGCATTTATACCTTTTTCTCCCGAACATTAGAATTTTTCCTTCATGACTACTATTGCTTACAGAATACACACACTAAACCAACATTATTATTATTATTATAACAATTAAATACCACAATAATGTAAAATAATACTAATGCAATTTTGTTTTATTCTTTATCCGTTTGTTAAGTGTGACGTCATGCGAAGTGGCTTCCGGGCCAAACGCTATATCAAACTATATGTGGAGACTCATAAAATAGTAATAATAAACATTTACAAAGTGATATAATACTTCTGAAAATTGTGATCGCAATATATATATACAGTATCCATGCCTAAAATCAGATGGCCAGAAAATGATTCATTGTTTAGAAATTGTCAAAATGTTGGTGTCTGTGTTGCAGCAAGTCTAGAGACTGTTGTGTACAGTAAGATTTGATATAAAATTCACTTTAATCTGTGGTATGCCTAAAAGTGGTCATAAACTAATATTTTCTAAATTCAAAGGAGTAACGGCTGCGACCTGGAAACAGTATTTAATACGTAACCGATTCGTCACGACTTAACAAGCGAATATATTTAAAGCAGCTTTAAACATGGAGCTCATGGTTTTTTCTTGTTTAATATGTGAAGTTTATTTATAAACTAATTTTGAGAGGAGCACGTGCTTATGATTGACCACAGCTGGTCACGCATTAGCTAACGTATGATTCACCAATCGGATGGTTCCTAACTCACTACAATTAACCACAGTTGATTACTTTAGTATATCTTCACCTTGAAGAATCCCCCTTCCACCCTTGGGGGGCTAATAATTCAGGAGGGCTAATAATTCTGACATCATCTGTATATAAATTTAAAACTATTCATTTTATCATGCCCTTATACTGCCACTGAATGAGATATTTGTAGTTATTTTGTTCTTACTCCGCCAACTTTTTCGAAGTATCCTCCATGGCTGCCGAAGTGAATGAGCTGCTCGTTGAAGAACCAGGTAAACTTCAGCTCCAGCGAGGGGTCGTATGACACCTGACATGGAAGAATGATGCTTTCGCCGACCGTCACGTCCAGTGTGTTTGGAGCTGTGGTAATGATCGTTGGCTCTGAAAAACAAATTTCACAACCTTTTTTAATACACGTACTGGAATTTGTTCAGTGAAAGTGTTTCTATAGTTTATGCGCATCTTTTTTTACCGAATAAAGTTTGTCCGATTCAGTTATGCACATATGTTTTTTTATGCACATTTTTGAAAATTGATGCGCATCTTGGTGTTTTCTTATGCACACTTCCAAAATGCGCATAAAAATAGGTGGTTGGAAACGTATAGCTACTGTTACTCTTTATTGAGATTTATTGGTGTTTTTTTGTTTATTCAAGCTTTCGATTTGTGTTAAGGAAACTGTGGGAAACAAACAAATTTGAATGTTGAACTTTAAATTTGAACAAAGTGATCGTATTGACATTTTTAGTAGTTTGAAATTATTTATTAAGTTGGTCTTGTAAAATACAGTAAAATATTGGGATTTATTTTCTCAATTGACCAAAAACACTTTTTTTTGTGAAAATGTTCAACATGAAAAGTTGTTGAAGAATATATCATACCGTAAAAACATTCCTGATTCACAATCTATGGGATCTATTTCTCAATCAATCTATTTTATCATTTAAAATTTGATAGTCAGGAGGTCAGATTAAATTTTTATATTCATTTAATATCAACACTTTTATTCAGCAAACATGTCCTTAACTAACCAAAAGTGACAGGAAAATTTTTTTATAGTGGTATTTATTATTTATATTTTTAATAGTCATTCAAAATTGAAAAGAGTGGCACGGTGGCTCAGTGATTAGCACTTTTGCCTCACAGCAAAAAGGTCAATGATTCAAGCCCCAGCTGGCTCGCTGTGTTCGCGTGGGTTTCCTCCGGGTGCTCTGGTTTTCCCTAAAAACATGGACTATAGGTGAATTGAATAAACTAAATTGGCCTTAGTGTAGGCCTATGTGTGAATATGAGAGTGTAAAACGTGCTGGATAAGCTTGGGGTTCATTCCGCTCTGACGACCCCTGATAAATAATGGGACAAAGCTGAAGGACAATGAATGAATGAATGAAAAATCCTGAAACAAAGTTTGGTTTTGGAAAAACATTAAACAGCTATATTGATTTCAATGCGAATAATAATCAACATGAAAAATCAATCAATCAATCAATCAATCAATCAATCAATCAATCAATCAATGCAATTATATATATATATATATATATATATATATATATATATATATATATATATATATATATATATATATATAAATTATTATAGAGCATGTGTTTAAGTCAGACAGTTCAGAGCTCCATGACAGACTGCGGACAGCTTATAGGCCAACATTTCTGAAACTGGACGGAGAGGTGAATAACCTGTGAACGGACCCTGAGCTCCACCATGTGTCACTGTCTGATCTCTGCTAAGCCCCTAAAGTCCCATCTGCTCTTCCAGAATGTACTCCTCCGAAAAAACAGATAACACACCACCAGCATCCCCGGTGCCCAGCTCACTTTCTTTCCAACTTTCAGTTCCATTCAGGTGCCAATTCGCTGGGGAAAACGGCAAGCACGCCTGTTTTTCCACAGCCAAAGAGTGGCATAAATCACTATCCCGCCTCATGAGGGCGCTGTGTGTTTTCTGCCGAAGTGTCCATCGGGCTGAATTAAGCACGGTGATGTCCCAGACGAGAGCAAATTTATGCAGAAAGCACTAGCTCCAATTTATGTGCGAGGATTCGATTCTGGAATTACAGGTCTGCGACACATGAAACAACCTTTCCCATCTCTACTGATATCAAACTGGAAAGGCAAAGCTAACAGGTGCATCGCTATGGGTTTTGTGAAAAGCACAATGAGGGGCCGTCAGATGAGGCTCGCTTCTTTTATTGTTTGGATGAGATCCCTCTCCGACTGTCTGTCAGCTTTGCACAATGGGATGACAATACGGCACTGCCTGGTATTCTACTGTCAGCTCTTAGGCTGGCAATTTAATTCAGAATTCAACAGCGGCGCCTTGAAGCCCACAAGAGCGAATGTTACCCGCTCGGCTCCTGTAGGAACGCCACTTGTTGGAGGATCGCTTGAATAATGTGGCTCTTTTTCTATACCAGCACTTTCATCTGTGTAACATTCTCATGTTATTGTTTGCCGTCTCTCGTAGTAGACGAATAATCCCACGGCTCCCTTTGTTCTACAGTGAGAAAGTGGCTTGGGGTCTTCAAACAAGGCAGATTCAGACAGAACTTACAAGAAAATGTAACCATTGTATTTGTGAATTAGTGGGTAATTCATATGATGTTATTTGTATGACTTAGGGTTAACCTTTGAAAAGATCCTGCCCTAAAGATCGGCCTCTAAAGAAAATGCCACAATGAGATTGTATGCGATCTTATATATATATATATACACACACCGGTCACTTTATTAGGTACACCTTACTAGAACCGTGTTGGACCCTATTTTGCCTTTAAACTGCCTTAATTCTTTGAGGCATAAATTCAACAAGGTACTGGAAATATAGATTTTGGTCCACATTGACATGATAGCATCACACAGATGCTACGAAATCATCGACTACACATCCATGATGCAAATATCTCAATCCACCACATCCCAAAGGTGCTCAGTGGATTAAATCTGGTGACTGTGGAGGCCATTTGAGTACAGTGAGCTCATTGTCATGTTCAAGAAACCAGTCTGAGATGTTGCTTTATGACATGGCACATTATCCTGCTGGAAGTAGCCATCTGAAGATGGGTACACTGTGGTCATAAAGGGATGAACATGGCCAGCAACAATACTTAGGTAGGCTGTGGTGTTGACACGATGCTCAATTGGTATTAATAAGCCTAATTTAATCAACTTGGAAAATTGCATTTTGTACAAAATGCTAATAAGTTACACTTGTGTTGTTCATGGTCAAAAATAATCTATTTCTTATTGTGCTATATTATCAGGAATTTCAGACTGAATCTTTTTGTTAACTTGTTTCAAAAAAGCTTAAACAATATGTATTTGACCAAACTAAAAAGGCCAAAAAGTAAAACAAAACAAAACAAACAAACAAACAAACAAACAAACAAACAAACAAACAAACAACCTGTTAAATTCAAAATCTAGTTATAATATTGCAAAACAAGCAATTTTACAAGGTTTGCTATTTTTGACAGCGAGCACAACAAGTGCCCTATAGGGTTTCAACATAACACAAGGGTTAAAAAAGCATCAGACTAAGCCAAACAATTTAAAAAAACCACTGTAAGCCAAGAAGATGCTAATAATACCTTCAATTGTACACCTAATGAATTAAAAGCACCTGAACAAGGGTGTAGAGGGAACTGCTGCTGTGTTCATCCACAAATTTGCACTTCAGGCCAGAGCCAGAACCCTGAACGGTGGAGGAAAATCTCTGAAGTGAAACCTGAGAATTCATTCAAGACAAAGCTGACGCCGCTGTCTTCCTGTCGAGGTTGTAGAAGTGGAGAAAACGCCTCTTATTACCCTGCTTCATCATCATTTGTGACAGATTGCATAGATAACCTCATTTAAAAGACTTGCCGCCCTCCAGCTCTCGTTGGCATAAACTGACTGATATCCATCCCGCATAATACCCTGTTACTGTTACTGTCTGTCATTAAAGCTGACAAAAAACAGCCTATACATTAGCTGAAGAGCCTTGAAAACCACCGTCAATGACCTCAAAAGTGGGTTTGCACTCTTGAAATTATGCAGCGTCATACATAGTGATTTTTACAGTTATACAATAATGATGACAATAAGGGATGAATGATAACATATAGTTTGCGAAAGGCATCATTCTGTGATGAATAACTACAGTATGAATAAATTAATGTACAACAATAGCACGTCTGAGATACAGTTTTTAACTGACTTCAAATTCCATGTTTGTCATTAAATGTGGTTTCATCAGAATGAGGAAGAAATTTAAGAAATGTATCTACTTTAGCTGATTTTCATTCATTCATTTTCTTTTCGGATTAGTCCCTTTATTAATTTAGGGTCACCACAGCGAAATGTATCCAGCATATGTTTTTAAGCATCGGATGCCCAGCTGCAACCCATCTCTGGGAATCACCCATACATTCTAATTCAAACACACACACTACGGACAATTTAGCTTAACCAATTCACCTGTACCACATGTCTTTGTACTCCATACAGCAATGCTAACTGACCCAGCCGAGGCTCAAACCAGTGATCTTCTTGCTGTGAGGTGGGAGCGCTACCCACTGTGACACTGCGTCACCTTAGCTGATTTTATTTGATTTAATTTTTTTTACATTACAACATTTGGGATTTCTATATTGTCACAAAGCTTAAGCAGGTGGAATGAACTCTAAAATGATGGCTGACATGTCAAAAAACAATTTATTTAATAATCAAACTGTGAGTGTTGTGAAATAAAATGTTAAGATATATATAAATATATATATATATATATATATATATATATATATATATATATATATATATATATATATATATATATATATACATATATATATTAGAATTTAATTATGGATTTTGATCCTGTTTACAATGAAAGAAATTTACTGACAGGCTTTTACACCAAATTCACTTCATAACATCAGTGGAGTGTTGGAAAGATATAGGGCCCTATCATATATACAGTACTCCCGGCACAATAAGGCGCAAGACGTGTATAGCATGATTTGTTGCTATTTTCAGACCAGTGCAACCCTAATTTTCCTGTTTTGTGCCACTTTGTTTAAATAGTAAATCCATTTGTGCTACTTTGTGGACTCATGGGTGTTTCGGTCTAAAAAAATAGGAGCATTGCTATTTTGAGGATCTAAACTAGACTGCGCAAAAGTCCAGCACAGAGCACGTTAGTTATGCGACTCACTTACACACTATTTAATACACAGAGGATGAGCAGCAATATATAAATATCTTTATAAATGAAAAAAAATTAAGGATTAAAATATTACATTTTTAAAAAATTTTCGACATAAATATAAAAACCACTGTCATCATCAATCATGTCAACTTAGTTTTGTATAATGTTATTAGTAT